AATGGTATAGTGGGCTAGCTTAAACTAGGAGCTATTGAACAGCACACTGAGGCTGCGGAATTATTTGGGTAATGAGCCTTCCTTTAACACACAGCCTAAGATATTTGAATTCAGCAACATTTTGCTCTTTCATATTAGCATAGGCTATAAATATTGAAGTACTGGCCATTGTATTAGTATTGTTGCAAATTCATGAGAAACACATATTGATATTTTTTTACTCATTTTTGTTTAAATGACTAGACTGAGTCAAGTTGCGCGAGTGTACGTTAGAGATCAAAAATGCCAAAATGTTATGTAATTAGCTGTCAAACATTTTCACATAATTTTCTCTTCTTGATAAGGTAAGACGAGCGTATTTTTTGAGTTGCATTTGAACTGAGAATTTGTCGAGTATATTTTTTTATACAAGGCACTGCCTCAGATTACCATCACAACTTAGCGAAATTATCAATTTATTTATAAATATGATACATTTTCTTTCAATGAAAATTACACCTCGTTAACATTCACAACTGGACTCTTATGAAACGGAAAGCTCCACTTAGGGTTCATATACACGGGCGACTCGCAGCCGCGGCAGCCGTCACCAACCTTTGACGTATCCGTCGACGCATCCGTCGACTAGTTGGCGGCCGCTTCAGAACAAAAACTAAAGCATAGAAAGAGATTAAATTCAACTCATAAAGTCGACTCATTTCTCTATCCCATTTTACATATAGACCAAAAAAGGGACAAATATGTTGCTATGAACCATACCATGAAAAGCGTGCATACCGCTATACAAACGTCAATTGGATACCTTGATTTCCTTTACGATGCCGAATCAAAAAGAGATCTAATGTCAAATGCAACCTGCCAACACGGCACTAATACTTTTTGGTTGGATAATACTTTGTTTGAAAATCTTCTCATTAATTATTGTCTATGGGAGTGTTTGCTCAATCGTCATATCATTACTTCTATGCTTTAGTTCTATCTTGTTCTTAGGCGTCAGCCATCGACTCAAGTGGCAACGACTGCAGACAGCTACGAGCCTATCGTTTATATAATGACTGATTTTCAGCGAGTCACAACACAAAATAAAATACGCTCGTCTGTCCTTACACTGAACCAAAAAAGGGGATCCCAACAATATGACTCTAACAATGAGCCAAATAAATAAAACAATATTTTATAAATTAATAAATTTATTTAAAAATATATGAAAAGTACATTCAGTACAGTCACAATAATTCTTATCTTAGTAAGTAAATCTCACTGTCAGAGTCAATATTGAATAGGTTATTACATTGACATATAAAAACAAGTCGACTCACAATCGCGCAAAAAAAGTGTCGGAAGCTTTTGCTTCCTTTAAACTTTGCTTTTTGTAAACGCACGCGCCTATTGCGTAATTTTCCCCGCACTTTGATTACAATGCCGCAGCGCCAAATTGTAAGGGGGCCATCCGTAAAGTACGTCACACTAATTTCGTGTTTTCTATTACCCCTCCCAAGATCTTGTCACGTAGTTGGTCACTTTGGGAGCGACAAAATTACGCAGCTATATTCGAGTTTTCTAATGGTATTTCTAATTAATAATAACATTTTAATAGCAACCAAACATCTCTCCCCGTGTGCGCCCCGCGCTTCACGTGTTCATTCATGGAGGTTAGAGATAAGGAGAACGATCACTATAGAAAATAGTGTCCGAGAAATATGGACAAAATAAGTGAGGCGCTGCGATCGCTAAGTTGTCTCAATGAAAGCGGGCTAATTTGAAATGAACAATGCCGCGAAGAAAATTTGTACAATATTCAACTAACTTCATCTACTTGTACCTACTCATAAACAGCTAACTTCATAGATACTACTTACCGACGGCAGCGCGGTTTGTGGCTGAAAAATTAACTATAAATTCTACAAATTTTCAGGGTCAGGCGGGCTAATCTATCTCTTCCTCTCTCGTATACAATTGAAACTTACTGCCACGACAAAACGTGCTAATTTTAAGAAATGTGTTAATGTTATCTGTACAACTTGATGTTTATGTATAACAAACGTTTTTTGATATACTTTTGTTAGATGATTGGGAGTCTACTTGTTTTTATACGTCAATAGGTTATAGCGACGCTCGTTAGTCTGTCAGCAAATCTTTAAAAGTATTAAAGCAGTCTAATTTTCAAGCGAAGCTAGTATGATTACTCCGCTAATGGAATTTTGTAAGGAAAGCGGTCTAACAATCAATGGCAATGCAAACCAAAGTATGAAAATGTTAGTCTTGCTTCACTTCTAGTGTGTTGCCTGCGCTTAATGGTGATTTTCACAGTAGCGTCTCCAGCGGCAACAATGCGATCCAATTTTTCAAATACTATCAAAACTTGTACCAGATAGATTGCTATAGATTCTAAATTATGTTTCATTTTCTTTCAAAAGGGTTTCAAATACATGAAAATGTTATTTTTCACTATACCTTGTCTATAAAGATAATGAAAGATTTGCTTGTGCCCTAGTATATTGCAATTTAAGAATAGATCTCGGACACGTTCAATCAAACACAGACATAACAGATCTACAAATTTGTTGTTTCTATAACATTAAGTAAGTTGAAGGTCAACTACTTTAGCGTCATAATTTCTTGAATCGAATTTCACAGAGAAAAGTGTTCACGATTATAGTCTATAATGAACAGACTACTAGCGCTGATTACTCTCGCTCTTGTTAATAAACGAGGAATAAGCTTAGACTAGTTACGCCGTTTTGTTCATACCACTTAAATGCTATTTATCATTCAGTGCACAGGGACAACACATGGAATAAGTAAACCAAGCTTGATCTTCGTATAATAAATATGTGGGTAAAAGTTTAAATAAAAAGTACAGACGCGAAAGGACATGGCTAAGAAACTGCCCTGAAAAAAGCTGAAAAGTTTCGTTTAACTTAAATAAATAATAGACGAACAATAAATCTACACAAAAATATTTGTGCAGCATATCGAAATAAACATTTTTTTTATAACAGATAATTTGTGTAAGGCTTTACATAATAGAATTTATTTTTCTGATCAGACTTGAGGCAAGGCTGTATGAACATTAAACCTTTACTTTTTGCAAATGAACAAAATAAAACTTCACATATTCCTGTCAGGCCGTCGTCACTAGCCAAATAAATAAACTTATTTTTGCTTGAAAACTACATTTTGTGAAGTGTGGTTTTTATGTCCTTTTTTGTGTCCTTTTTTTTTAAAGGGAGGAAAGATTCTAAGAAATTGCGAAATTGTCTCTGTAAATAGGCAATATATTTTATCTTTTATCAAGTGAAGCAAGGTAATGACGTAGTAGGAGTTTTTATTACACAGAATTATAACTTTATCAAAAGTTCCTAAGACTCTTCTCATAGAAATTATAAATATTCAGCCATTTAGCATTACATATCACTAAGTACAATATTTGTACATTGCTAGGACAGTCGCACATACAAATTTTTACCATGTTGTTTGGCCTGAAAAAGACGTCACATGCTAACTCAACAGCAGGTTTCAGAAAAAACTCAGATATCACCTTTTATTAATGACTTGATTTGACCTACCTACAGGTAAATTTGTGCATTTTTTCCAAATTCACCTCCTTTCCAAATTTATATATTGGACATTGACTTTGACATTGAAACTATCAAAAATATAATTAAAAACTAAGAGATTCTATCAAACCCTTAGGAATGTATTATTATAATATAAATTTAATTTGTTCCTCGAAAATTGTGTATATCTAGACTTACAATACAACATAATTATAAAGTAAACAATAATAGTCTCATACAATAACAGGAAATAACTCTAAAAAATCATAGAGTCCAAAGCAAAATATCCTTACTTCTAGTAACGCTTTGCGTATAATACTATATGTACTTTAAAACTTATCGAAAGCACTCATGAGACTCAAAATGTAAAGGCAAACAGACATCACGACATAAAGAGACGGGATCAACGATATTAAATACCCTAGATACACCAACTCAAACAAAATCGTGCCCGAAACCTGTCCAAAAGGTACATTGAACAATCCACGGAGCTCCGTAAGATGATCGCGTAGTCAAAATCAATATAAGACATTTAAATATTGAAAATTACCTTTAATGCATACTGTATAAGGTCTTAAATAAAACGCATGCGTCAAGGACTTCTGACAGTTCGAAATGCAAGCTCGTAAAATTTTACGATTTATTGCTATAAGCGGAAGAATTTAGACCTTAGTTCTTTGACTATACGCGCAATTCTGAACGCGCTGTTAGCAATATAGCAGACACGTAACGCGAGGAAAAGAGACGGCTATATGGCGACGTATAACCGACCATAAATTTGAATATAACTAATATTCTATATTAAATAAGTTTTTAGTAAGTATAAGATCAAAATTTACTTCAAATGCGTTAAATTAACAAACATTGGTGTCGATTCTGGCGTGATTCTCTAAACTTAAAACTAATTTTAACATCAGTCACTCCTTTTCATTCTGTATAGAGAATGACAAGGATACACTGTTGTCAAATTTAAGTTTAGGTTTAGAGAATCATGCTAGAATCGACACCATTGACTAGATACCCGTCAAAAAAACGACACTTTTCGCACTTTGAGTATTATTTTCGCATTTTTTCGCGGAGCTCTGTGGCATCTTGACTTTGTAACGGTCCGCGCGTGACTGTGAACCAAGAAGTGCTTGAGTGGATTTCAAGCACTTCTTGATTGGGACACATTTTGAGCGCTCGTGGTGTATCTAGGGTATTTAATATCGTTGGACAGGATATAGAGAAAACATTTCTATATCATGACATAAAGAGAAGGGATATAGAGAAAACATCTCTATATCACGACAAAAAGAGACGGGATATAGAAAAACATCTCTATATCACGACAAAAAGAGACGGGATATAGAAAAACATCTCTATATGAATGGACAGAGCAAATTAGTATCAGGGCATAAGAACACAAAGAAGAGTAAAGCTAGAACACTTAATACGCACACTTGTTTCACTGGCGACGTCTGCCGTCGATTGTCGATTTGTACCTGGTAACAAGATAATTTCATTATGTTTAGACAAAATTAAATTACACATGCTATTGGTATTTACTATAACAATATTTTAGAGCAAACATCTTGCTTGCCCTGTAGGGAATTTTATTTTTAATATTAAATTAATTTGTGCTACGAAATTGTGCATAGCATAATGTACTTTTTGTCAATTGTATAACATACATACCACATACGAGCCAAAACATTGTGGCATAATCGAGAATGAAATAAATATAGCAGTTAAATGAAATAAATAACAATATAATAAGTCATTAATGAGTCATTCTTTCCAAAGTAGGGAGGAGGAGTCCCACATAAACCCGTCAACATAGTAACACATCCACGCTTCGCTTTAGTCTATAGTTTTTAAACATATGAAACCTTTGGGTAAATTTACGTTACCTGTGCGGGAAATCGCATGAAATTTGAACCTTAATAGAGAAGTAGAAAAAAAATGAAAAATCAGTATTACTCGTGCCAATAAAAAAAGGCTAATCGCAAATGACGACTTAAGACATTCTGTCCCTCTCGCTCATGTTGTCTTTGTCATGTGCGAGAGAGACTGCATGTATTGCGACGATATTTTCGATTTGTTTTTTTAACGACTGTTTTTTAAATAAAATTCTTCTTACCTTGGAACTGGTAATTTTATGCTTGAATTTAACAAAAGGTATGAGCGTCACTTTGGAGTTCTTGGCAAGCGCCCGCGCGACGTCACGCGCTTGCTCACGTCTCGATAACGCCACTATAGCTGACACGTCGTCTAAGAACTGGACTGTCACTGGGCCTGATTATACGAAGCAATATAATTATCAATATAAAAAAAATAGTAATTTATAGATGTCATGTAATGTACAAAAATAATCCTTAATCACAGTGCGTTTACTTATAAAATAGCAGCGCTCGTTAGTTCCCTATCTCTTTTAATGAATTATTGAGTATGATGAAATTGAACCTCAAAATCGTTTATTTAGTTTAGTTTTATATAGCTTGACCGCCGTAAAGGTAACCCTGCTAATGGTTAGAGGGACGCGGGGCGGCGAGTGTGCACGAGTACACACGGCATTGCCGACACGGCGAGATATCTTTTTTTTTTATAGATAGCTCCGGCAAATGACTCCACCCCACCTGATGTTAAGTGCAGGTGAAGTCCAGACGTGAAAATAACTGATACAGCAGTTCTACCTGCCACACCAGCCATCCTCACCGTGCTGCATGTTGCTTCTTCACGCCTCTTTTAAAAGATCCCAGGTTGTAAGAGGGAGGGAACACGTGGGCGGGCAGAGCATTCCATTTACGGATAGTGCGACAAAGAAATGAGTCACAAAATTTATGTGTACGCGTTGGAACTGTTGCCACAGTTAGACGGTGACAACGTAAGCCAGCGCGCGTGGTCCTCTGAAGGAAAGGAGGTGGGATAAGAGAGAATAACTCCTCAGAACACTCGCCGTGGTACAGACGATAGAACGCACTGAGTGACGCCACGTCACGGCGTAATTGAAGAGGCTCAAGGTGTTTAATCACCTCCTCATCGCCTATGATGCGGATCGCGCGCATTTATCTTTATATATATAATTCTTCTGTGAGTGTGTATGTCACTGAACTTCTCTTAAACGACTGGACCGATTTTGATGAAATTTTTTGTGTGTGTTCAAGGGGATCTGAGAATGGTTTAGATTCACAATTTTGTCCGCTGGACAACCCCTTTTTTTTTAGGGCGGTACGAAGTTCGCTGGGTCAGCTAGTATTATATAAATAATATATATATTTTTATATATATTATTATCGCATGATATTTAAATTTTCGTGTTGTTATATCAAAAGTGTTACTTTTTGTTGTATTGACCCAGAAGTCATTTTTATTATTTGCAATTAGGAAGTTTGGCGGGGAAACTAATTCTATGGAGAGTCCAAATTAGAATCAATCAAAGACTGAAATTATATTTTATTATTAAGATGCGTGTACATTACAGTGCGCTTCACAAGTTGCTCTGTTACTGAGAGGGCTTTCTCGATGGTCTTGACGGCCGTATAGGAAGATCATATATCGTGCATCTACATAGTATAAACCATGTACATTACATATGTAGTTACAGGAAGTAAAAAAATATTAGGTAAAACGGATAAATTAAAAAAAAGTGTGTTTTAGAAACACATATTATAATACTGTTTTTGCATTCCAACAGTTATTAAGTGTGTGGGAAAACACACAGCGCGAGCAAGTTTCTTGCAGGTGATTTCTGAATACTATGAATTGACAGTGACAGCTATCACCGAGATGCTTCATGGACCAAGGACGTTGTACCATTCAGGCTTGTTGATGGGTAAAAGAATTATTTGTTTAATAATACTGAAGACATACACGTAAGTTCTTTTATATATTTGTTTGTTCCGGGGAACGTTTCTTCGGGGAAAATTCCCCACAATAGGCTATTTGATAGTATGAAAATATTAACATGAATATTGGGAACAATTCCAGTATTAAAAAAAGGAGTTTATTATATTACTAAAAATCATCAAATGGAAAAGTTTTTCTTTCTTATCTCAATAGATCAAAAATAGATTTTAAAAATTCTAAAAAATACTCCGCCGATAATAAATGACGTCACCTGCGTGTAAAAATTCTGTCGAAATGACATTACTTTGTACTGTTTGACGTTTCTATGACATAACGAGCTCTCAAACCTCGTCGTGGCGTCACATGCCTGTATGACGCCAATTTGCAAAAGAATTTTTAGGTTTCGTTTTTTTATTGATACACTTAACAGAATTACATATAACTAGCCACTTTTTATGGAGTCTCTATACGTATGAACAATTCAAAAGCAGCTCAAATGGCTTATTACTCAGTAATTATACATTGAAATAGATTTATCTAGAATGCGTCGATTAGGCTATATAAGAGAGCTCCGCGCCACGTAGCGACAGTTAACTCCCTAGGATATAACAGTTGAGTTTTAACAGCGACTTCAAAATGATAACAAAGGCTATTAAAATGCAAGCGTAATACACTCATACGAGTGTATAAAGATTTGTATAGTGTTTACTGTATGATCAGTAAAGAACTCTCAAGCGTGAATTGGCATTATAATTTCGAACCCCAGCCCGGCACGCAACAATACACAGAATCGTCGAGGAAAATAAACTTTCATGGTTAATTTGTATTTTGAGTATAATCAATTTTGATACATTATATTCTCGTGTAACGAACGAATTAGCGAGAAAATTATCATAAAATATCGACTTACCAAAAGGACTGAATAGTTGGTTGATATCATTCCTTTGCCATTCCAGCGGAAAAGTCAAATGAAACACATGATCCCTGGACGGTGTGGCTGAAAAAAACGAATCTTATTACAACGCAATAAGGGCTTCTTTTAGATTGGAATCGCACGACTTTGAGAAATAAGCTTTTAGATATTTACTAAAAGGTCGATTCATCGCATCTGTCTTTTGATATGAATGTAGGCAGAAATATTCTCAATTTTGAGAAAATAACCAATTGGAAGTAATTTTCCGTCAATCTGGCCGGTTGTTTGCCGCGCAAACGTAAAAGAGAGTATATCGCTAGGAACTATGTTTCCTTAACCCGTGATAAAGTGAAGTTTTTGATTAATGCATGACTCACGATCAGCGCCTGCGAGGTTCATGTATGGCGAGTCTTGATCAACGATATTAAATACCATAGATACACCACGTGCGCTCAAAATGTGTCCCAATCAAGAAGTGCTTGAACACGACTCAAGCACTTCTTGGCTCACAGTCACGCGCAGACCGTTAAAAAGTCAAGATGCCGGAGAGCTCCGTGAAAAATGCGAAATAAATACTTATGGTACGTGGTAAAGTGTCGTTTTTTCGATAGGCATCTAATCAATGTTTGTTAATTTATCGCATTTGAAGAAAATATTAGTGATACATGCATGGTCGGCAAAATTGTAGTCTCTTTTCCTCGCGGTTCGTAAATGCTATATTGCTCATTAACATTCACAGCTCATTCAGAATTGCGCGTAGAGTCAAAGAAATAAGGTCTGTATTTTTCCGCCCATAGCAATAAGTCGTAAAATTTTACGAGCTTGCATTTCGAACTGTCACAACTCTTTGACGAATGCGTTTTGTTTAAGACCTTACAATAAAGAATATAAGAATACAATAATATAAAATAAAGAATACAATACTGTATAAGGTCTTAAACAAAACGCATGCGTAATGCATACGCATTAAAGGTGTCAATGTTTAAATAATTTCTTATACTGCTTTTGACTACGCGATCATCTTACGGAGCTCCGTGGATCGTTCAATGTACCTTTTGGACAGGTTTCGGTAACGATTTTGTTCGTGATATTGTATCAAGGGTATTTAATATCGTTGGTCTTGATGCACTGTCTTAGCCCTGAACAATTTATTGAGAAACAGTTTGAACACTGTCATAGCCCTGACATCTATGATGATGATGTGAAGTGCTATCATAATAGATATAATGCGATTCAAATTTTGTAATAGTTGTGACGATAGTATCGATCGCAAGTGTGCCCAGATTTCAGTTCCGCAACACCCCCAACATTTCGTTTACTGCGACGCGACTTGCGCTAACTTCATTGCCTTCATTAAGTTTGCCTCACACTGTTATTAACGGTGGGCGCCAATGAGGTTCATATAGGACGAGTATTGAAACATAGTCTCGGCCAGGAACATTTTTTTAAGAAATGGTTTTAGAACTGGAGAAGTTACCTTTAAACCGGTGGTTTGCTCACCCCAAATTCGCGATTAGTGCGAGTACATTGCTAGGAGACATAGACCCGTGAAGTGTGATATTGATATAGTGAAGTTTTTCAGATTATTCAGCGCCTACAAGGTTCATATAGGGCGAGTCTTGAAGCACAGTCTTGGGGAGGAACAGTTTGATGAGGAAAGGTATCAGTACTGGACATGTGAGGTCCATTAAACGGGCGGATAGTTCTCCTCGCATTCGGGATAAATGCGAGTATATCGTTGGACAACATAGACCCGTGATAAAGTGAAGTTTAAGATTAATAAATGACTCACGATCAGTGCCTGCAAGGTTCATATAGGGCGAGTCTTGAAGCACAGTCTTGGCGAGGAACAGTTTGGTGAGGAAATGCTTCAGTACTAGACCAGTGAGGTCCTTCAAACGAGCGGTTTGTTCTTTTCGCATTCGGGATAAATGAGAGTACATCGCTAGGAAACATAAACCCGTGATAAAATGAAGTTTTAGACTAATAAATGACTCACGATCAGCGCCTACAAGGTTCATGTATGGCGAGTCTTGATGTGCAGTCTTGGCCAGGAACAGTTTGTTGAGGAAAGGCTTCAGTACTGGACAGGTGGGGTCCTTCAATCGGGCGGTTTGTTCGCCTCGCATCCGCGATAAATGCGAGTACATTGCTAGGAAACATAGCCCGGTGACGTAAGCGTCATAACCTGCCTCATGGTGTTTCTCCTCGGTGCGGTTGTAGCCTCGACCGTTCTCAGAGTCTGTTAGGAAACACGAATAAATTAATGAATAGAAGAACGAATCAATTAATGGAGAATGAATGAATGAATGAAACAGTGAACCCATCAAGTTCTTGAAAATAATATCGTTCGTCTAACTTGCCTTCATCAGTCGTATGACTGTCCACAACTTTATAATTTTAAATACATTAAAAACATTCATTAAAATGATATAAATTTCTGATCACTTCGTGAAGAATATAGCATTATTGGAACCTCACATAGTTCCAATCATGCTATATTTCCTTATCGGTGACGGCCTAGTCAAGATATTGCTATAAAAATGATCTTATGAATTAACTCTGTTATATTATCACTCTCTGGTCATCCTTAACTAAAAAGCCGTTGTTGTGCGTGTTCAATGACGTCACATTAACGTCCACCAAAATGCGGTCCAAGCGTATTACAAATTTGCGAACATATAGCAAAAATTGTTCATAAAGTTTTATATTTAAACTTTAAAAATCCTTCTCTTATTACGATTCAAACTTAATGACCGCTATGAGGTTAGCACAAGTCACGGCGCAGTAAACAAAATATAGGGTAATGTAGATGTGCTCGCTGAGCAAAGTCGCGCTCGCTGCTAACTTCAGAACAGCCATAAAGTTTGAATCACACTTTCACAGATTACTTAATAGTTACTACGTAACAGATAAATCACTCCCTCCAAAAATTCCGTGTGCCTATAGCGATAATATAATAGCCTACATCGTCCCGCCGCGACGCATTGGCGACCGTTGCGTGCTAAATTATACCTTATACGCTCGACTAAAAAGTTGTTACCGATTTACAGCCGCGCGGAATTGCTGCAATAGTAGGTGATGCCAGAGCTGTTGGTAAGATAAAAATATTGTTCCCACACAATACTTTGTACCTAAATGGCTTGTATAAGATTCTTTATGTAAATTAAAATTAATTATAAACTAAAAAACTCAATTTTTTTTGATCAGTACGATAATATGGAAATCGAACTATAATGTACCTATAAGTTACAAATTAGAGTGAGAGAGGAGGAACCTGCCTACCGCTGCCGTATGCGTGAGAGGAAGGGAAGCCAGACAGACTGGCGCCGTAACGCATTACGTAACGAAGAGGTTCACCCTCCCATTAGAAGTTATCACTTCAAACATTCTTTCCAACTCACCAGCTTTAGGAAGTGCAAACGGCTCGTCTGACAGCGTTGTGAACAAATGCTGCAGCACGCTCGAGTTGATCTTATCCTTGAAAGGGGGCAAACTCGACATGTACTTTGTGTCTAACAACCTGAAATAAAATGCCATAATAATCCTCCATTGAACTTATTATTTATTGAAATCTTGTTCTTACTTTTCTTACTCAATAAATAATGTAATAGATATTTAATCTGACTTACTGTTAACTTAGATTAAAACAAAAAGTGAAGATACGACACTGGCGGCTCAAAAGTGATCCGCTTAAATTGTGGTGCATGACCACAATTAGCTTTACTTGGACATCCAAACACTATGCACGTGCACTCAATATAACAATATTGCGTGTATTCTGTTTTATAAAGATAAAAAAATGCCTTCGATGCTTTTATAAAGATCAAAAATAGTTCAAGATGAATTAACAAATGCCACGGCAACACTTTTCATTCGCAAAACTATAAAAACATTTTTTCTCAAAAATCTCGGTTTGCATGAATATGAGTTACATATTTGCCATTTTTTATCAAGAAAATAACAACAATACAACTCAGCCGTCTGTAGAGAGAAAAGAAAACGCAGTCAGCTGCAAAGCGACGCGGACTCGAGTCGTTTCGCTCGCGCTGCGTTGAAGCGTACAATTCTGTCTCGCTCGCTCGATCGAATGTTTATTTACAGAAGTATGCGTGTGTGAGAGTTGCTTATGTAGTTCAGTCGGATCATATTTTATTTTATGCTAGTATGAGCGTACCGTATCTTCCCTTTTTGTTTTAATCTAAAACTGTTAGCTTCACAATCAAGCTGGCTGGCTGTGTATACGAAACTAATTTCAACCTTAATGCTATGTAGTTAAGGCTCTTCATTGTCTTATAGTACCCACCGAGTCTTTAATTGTACAACGGACATACACCCACTTAAAAATCATAACTAGCATTGCAAGTTTAGCTTATTTATAAGCTTTGTTTAGCTCAATACGAAGGAATAACAAACAATATAAGCACAATATTACAGTAATACTTTCTTAAAAACAAATATGTAACTATAAAGGCATTGTGGACTTGCCTACGCTTCCATAAAAAGAAAAACATAGAAAAAAATCCACTCGGACGGAATTCCCGTGTCGAAATGAGTCCCGTCTGCTGCCTGGTCCGCGTGGAATTTTTTCTAGTACAATTTTCTAAAAAATTAAAATAAAAAAAATATATAAGAAAAACTTAACTATTTTTTTTTTAGAAAACTTGCCTTGGAAACATACAATGTGTAAACTCTTTGAAAGAACCGTAATCTTCTGGCAACGGTTGAAAGAAATGATTAAGCGAATGCAGTACATCAAGCAACATATTGTGGCCGATCACCAGCTTTCCCTGCGACAAATAAATTTGTGAACAAGTTACACAGTGAGATATCATAAAATAAACCTACCAAGACCTTATGGAAAAAAAATATGTTAATTAAGGGTAAGTTCCGCTAAGGATCCGTTAAGCCGCATTGACATGGTCAAAGTAGCTTTGACATAAGTCGAGTGCGGTCCAACTCCACTTTGGATGCCAACGTCAAAGTGCGCTTCGATTGCTAGTTTACACTATCAAAGTAAACTCGAAGCAGTCATCAAAGCTACTTTGTCAAAGCAGACTTATAGCATGTCAACGCGGCTTTAGTGTTGTAATTTTGTAATCGCTTCACGGCTTTATCAAGATTTTCAAGCAAAACTGGTCTTAATATTGTGTAAATAAAGTTTTAAATTATTTCTCTTTTAAAGTGATCGCCGCGTCGCTGCCAGCCGCTGCTATTATGGTGTGAATCAGCCCTAACCTAAGGCCTCTTGGTAACGACCGTTGTTTCACCGAATACAAACGCATCGATAAGAAGGACAAGTATATTATCCGTTGAAACAACAGCCGTTAAAAAGAGTAGTAATGTGCCGAGTCAGATTGATTCGAATACATAGCAAGTATTCGCATACTCGAGTCAAAAAAATACTGAATATGGATCCACAATACTAGAACACAGGTTTCGAATACTTACGATATTCGATTCCTAAACCGAGTACTTTAATAGCAACCTTCTAGCTTCGCGCGTACAGTCAAATTTTGAATGACCAGTCCACTTTAAAGAGCATTGTGATGTTAGTCACGAGAAGTGTTGATAAGTCGTGGCAGGTCTGAACCTATTGTCTCCTATCCAGCCGGTCAGTTTAATAATCTCATTAAAGAGTATTTACTAAAGATTTAATTATTGTTTTGTTTATCGTAAGTTATTTATTTGATCTGTTGGCCTGTTGATTATCAGTAAATTGTGCAATTTAGTATTGTTTTAGTATTTTTTTTACCCAGTGACTTTGTTATAGGATGGCTCTGAAGAAAAAACCCGGTATGGAATCATTTTAGTACAAACTCGTTTATAGTTATTAAAGCAAGTTGTTACTTGTAAGCTTTGATTATAATCTAAGCTTGTAGGTATTTATTCTTATTTAAAGCGTAATCGTGTCAGTTTTAAATAAAGCGATGATGAATCGATTTATTTACTGAAGGTGTTCCGCGACTCCTAAAGGAACCTCCTTACAAGTTGCGCTCTCTGGGGATCGACAACTGGATTAATTGGCTCACAAGTTTTATTTATTATTTATTTAAGCGGGCTACTTAGCTGAAGGCAAAACGCAAGAAACTTTAAGCATTACAGTGAATAATATTTTAATTAAAAACAAACAAAACAATAATAACGTATCTAGAAATCTTAAGCAAAGCTAAGCGTAAGCCGATGAGAGCGTAATGGTCACGAAGTCTCGGAGATCGTATTTTATAAGCGGGGTCTGCGTATGCGCCGAGAAGGGATCTTCGTTCGAAGGCCATCTCGAAATAGTAGGTTTGACGCCGCTGTAGGTGTGGTCATTTCAACCCATTGGCTTTGGTTTGTTACTAATGCGATTGTGCCTCTGTATGATACACGAAGAACGAAGTTCCTTTCGTAGTATATTATCAATACTTAATATAATAAAGAAAAAAGATTTGTATGTGTGTGTGTGTGTATGTTTGTATTGATTAGGCACCGAAACTACTAGACCGATTAGAAAAAATCTTTAACCAATTAAAAGCTCAACAACTCACAAACTAGAAAACCAAGGCTGAGCTTATGACATAAATTCCATACACTATCTGTACTGTATCAGCGATTGCGATAGCTTTTGTTGAAAGGTATCTTGTCTAGAAGGCAGGGTAGTCGAGTGACTTAAAACAAAAAAAAAATCGATTATATCGATTCAGTTGACGTATACAGGTGGAATAATATACAAAATAAATGGCAACACTAGGTATAAAATGGATGAGAACGGTAGTCAATGCAGTTTTTATTATTATTTTTTATTTTACTCGGCTTCTATTTGTATCAATTACAACTTGTAAATAATATTTATATATAATTAATAATATTAGTAAAAATGTGTAATCTAGACGTTCAACTTTGATCCAAATATGATTTGGAGGATGCCTTTTAACACTTTCGTACCGTTCATACATGATTTGTTATGAATTAAAATATTTTGTTGTAAAAAGCAAACTATAATGTTCAATTCAAAAAGTACTCGAGTCTACTGAAGTATTTGAATACTCGTGCTAGTACTCAAATACCTGTCCAAGTCTTCCGTCTCGAGGCATAAATCGATTCTATTTTTAATGGATACCAAAATATTCGAATATGTACCAAAAACAGCCTCGGCACATCACAAGAGGTCTAAAAATTGCACTACACGTGGCTATTATATCTACTTAGTTGGGATTTCAGACTATATCAATCGTCGCAATGTGAGGTCAGTTTAGTAGACAAACCACTGGCTTTATTTGCCTGTTTGACAAATAGGACCAATAACGAGTATCTATTTGAAATTGCAGCTATTTTGTATAAATCTCTAATATCCTTAATATCTAACAATTAAAAAATTATATACTTTTTTTCTTATAAAACTTTCATTTTTTTTTAATGGATATATTAATGCCGGCACTTCACTTCGCTCTTCGTATTTGCTATTAGTAAACTTGACAACAGCCGTAATCAATCATCAGAGTAATCATGCTTTATTGAGAATGAAAAGGAAAGTATGATGTCAAGTTTAAAAATAACTAACACGATAAGCCAAGTGAAGTGCCAGCATAATGGCGCGGTTACGCTTGGTCGTAAGAATACGAATTCCAAAGGAATTCGGGTAAACGACTAAATGTAAATGAACGCAATCGAGAACGCCCATATTAGGAAAGTTTTCGTTTTGGTTACAACCCGACACTGTCTTCCACCCCGTATTATTCCCGTGTAAACTTTGCTGCGAGTGCCCGAATTCGAGTAATGTCTTTGCTCGTGCTCCCGAATCCGGACTAACGACCAAATAAAATTGCGGCATAAGACTCACTGACTGACTGATCATACGGGCCACTTTAGAGAACCCGACGGCATCATCCAACTCTTCCCACTCCTTCTCTTTCTTCTGGTTGTCTTTGCTCGTGACGTCATCGCCTTCTTTTAACCGCGTTACCTTGAGGATCCTGAAGCGAAATAAAGCAAGAAAGGTAAAGTACCTACACCCCACACAGAATTAATCTATTTTTTTTCCTGTATACAAACTTTAAAATAGTAATGCCGACACTTACTTGGCTATTCGCGTTTGCTATTTGTAAATTTGACATCAGTGTGTCGATTTCATTCCTTAAAAAGCATGATCAAGACAAACTGTAGTCAAGTTTACAAATAGCCCATACGAATAGCCAAGTAAAGTGCTGACATAAAAAGAAAAGAATTGGCTAGATAACATTGACATTATTGTCCTACCATGTAAGCTGTAGCCACTCAATCACAGCACATCTTAAAAATATCTTTAAACTCTCATCGAGCAAAGGTTATGCGCCGTTCCCGCCTCTGCGTGCCACACTTCCGGGTGGGAACGATTGCATTATTTTGCCAAATTCTCTGTTATTTTGTAAGAATACCCTACACAATATAGCGTCTCTAGCAGTCATCAGCTGTAAATAATTTGAAATAAATTTAATTTTACCAAATAGTAATAGTTTCCTTTATATATTGGCCACTTGTACAGTGGCCGGCCGCGACTACATCCAATTTAACTTTTTTTTTTTTAATTCCTTTAGGAACTTAACATTTTTTTGGAATAATAGGTATCCTATGACTCAATCCAGGTAAAAAAATAAATATGAGTACCTTTCATTAAAATCCATTTAGTAGATTTTGTGTGAAATAATAATAAACATTCATATATGCATACAAACTTTCAAATTTATAGTAGGATACGTATGTTCTTAGCTATAATTTTACGAAAGCCCTAATTTCCAATTTGTGACCTACAGTGGGAACTTAAATTCATTATCAAATTTAATGTAGATATCTATAATATCTGAATACTAAATTTTATGTTAGAGGAGCTCGATGGCGCAGGTGGTTATCGCGTTCTGCTGCGATGGTTGAAGTTAAGCAACTTTCGCAATGTTAGGTTATTGGATGGGTGACCAAAAACATCTATCTCGAGTTTATCCGTGCTTCGGAAGGCACGTTAAGCCGTTGGTCCCGGCTGCATCTGCAGTCGTTAGCACCCGCCAATCCGCACTGGGCCCGCGTGGTGGGTCATGGCCCAATCTAACTATTCCATCCTTAGGGAAGGCCTGTGCCCCAGCAGTGGGGACATTAATAGGCTGATGATGATGATGACTAAATTTTAAGTAAGTATCCAAAATTTGGTTGTTTAATCAGGACAACCAAATTTTGGATACTTACTTAAAATCACCTAAGGAAAATTTATTTCATTACTAAATTAATAACTATATTGACATTCACTGGCAACATGAACATCTTTGGTAAATTTAGGTGCATAATTATGAGTAGCACTTATCATCACTAATCAGCAAAACATAAAATAAAATACCAGAACATTTAGTAGATAAAATTACCTGTTTTGATTTTCTAAAACCTTTGTTTCAACAAATGCTTCATTTTTGAACTGAGCAAGCTCCTGGAATAATAATCTCCTCACAAAATTGTTGCAGCGGTCAATCTCTATGCAATCTGAATCTTTGTCATCAAGAAACTTGCGCACTTTTTTGCTAAACAAAAAAAAAACAAGTGTAAAAGAGTAAATCATGAAAAAAATATTTTACATAGACAAAATGCAGTCATCAAAGCCTGAATGAAGGTGAGGTAGTTAGAGAATGTAAGCCTGTCTACGTAGCATAAGCACCACAATTTACATTATACCACGTTTTTTATCGCATCTGTCAAACTCTGTAGTAATTTGACAATAGGCTGGTTGATTCATGTCGAATTGTATTAAATAAATGTTTATTTCTTAAAGTATTTGGTCTGAGGAACCTAAATATATCGATTTCACTTCATAAAAGCAGAAGATTGCTGTATAAATTAATTAAAAAAAAATAGTCTTTACTTTTTTAAACACTTAAAATGCTGTTCGTCGCTTCCGCCACGATTGTGACATCTCTTGGTAGTAAACAGCTAAAGGACAATGTTAAAATTGGCCTAAGAACCAACACCAATTTGGCATTTATGATAATTCTTAGTATATTTTTTGCGATAATTATCAGTATTTAGATTGTGACAGACACTTCCAGTTAAGTATGCTAAATTAAAAAGTTAAAAATAATCTGAGACAATAAATACCATTTTATGTGTATAATCTATGGCAGCGCTGCAAACAAAACACTCTTTCTTCCTAATGCCGGCACTTCACTTAGCTATTCGTATTTTCTATTTTAAAACATGACATCAGTCTGTCCTTTTCATTCCTTATTAAGCATGACAAGGACAAACTTTTGTCAAGTGAAGAGCCAGCATAAAACTTGTTACTCTGTGGTTGTGGAGCATGCAGTTTCATAGTAATCTGTGGCATTGGTGCATTCCAAAGGGTACGGCCACAGTGCACAGATTGCGAATCAGATTCAGACTCAGAAAACAAGCGCAAGAAATAAACAGTGTAGTATAAGCAGGTTGCTTGCTGCCACTATGGCCACCCTGCTACAACTACACTGTTTATTTTTCGCGCTTGTTTTCTGAGTCTGAATCTGAATGCACTGTGGCCGTACCCAAAGAGTAGTTTATTATACCGGAAAGTTTTTCAATTTCAATTCAATCAATTTGCGATTGTTTTACCTTTAATTTAACTATTTCGGCTATCTATAATATGCCATCGATGTTACCAAAGAGCAGAGCCCTTATAACCAAGTGCTAGTGAACCTGTGCCACAACATCCTGAGAGGATCATACTACCAAATTATTCACGAACAATTCAACAAACTAATACACATTCACGCTGCATATTTACACAATATACATGTGATATACAAATAAATACAATAAACAATATGATACAATTATGTGAAAAATAGTCAATAAATAAGAAGCAAAACTACAGATTTTATTTTATTCATGATTCCTACCTAACCCAGATTTTCCTAATAGTTATTCTTTAAAATCGCACCGAATAAAATGAATTAGTTGTAATATCAATTCACTTCATACTGAGTTCATACTAAATTCATAGGTTCATAGATTTCATTGAATATTAAACATAACCTCAAAAAAATTTTAGTTTTCCTAATAATTTAAGTTCTCAGAAGTGTCCGTCAATCATCGTTGTTTTTACAGTCATTTACTTACCATTTTTAACCTAGAAAATAATATTTCATGATTGTTGATTCTTAGACTAACTATGTATGGACGCTGAACAATGTCCTTTCATTCATACATAACATTAAAACTTGTATTATTAAAACTGATTAAATGAAGAGTCTTAAAATATTATTCAATGAGTACTTACATCAAAGTAATCTTCGCAAAAATAAATTTTACTATGAAATTGCAGGATCCCTTTTAGCAAGATCTAACCAGGTATTGCGTAGGTTAATTTCTTTCGGCACTTTAATCCACAACTTTCCTGGAGTCTTCAAGGATGTGTTTTTACATTCTCGCACAATACAATAATGATAATTACTATATTTTTCGTGGTATTTATTAGGAATCATGTTTTTTTATATTATAAACTCAGATAGGTTATTTTCTACGTGCCCACAAGTTTTTGTTTACTACCAGTTGACGTCATGGCATAGATAATCTATAGACTAAAATGGCCGACATCGTTTTTGTATGTCCATGAAAAGTCTATTTTAAAATTAAAGATTTGTAGCATTTGCTTTTTAGGTCTCAAAAAAATACATTTTTTTCGATCTAATAGAACATTTATTAACCATTTAAAACCTTTTTCCAAAAAGGGTCAACTAACCTATTGACCGTGATAAAAACGTGTTAATATATCATATCGCGGTGCTCATGCTCGGGGGGCTGCTTTATGGTAAATGGTTGTCTTACAAAAATTTATCAGCATTATTGATATAAAATGACAATGCAGTTGAAAAACAAAATTGAACAAGTATTTACCTTGACTAGCTATTTTCTTATCAGCCTGAGCATAAGCACTATGATATAAAATATAACTAGTTTTTATCACACTCAATTGTCAATTTACTGTGGAGTTAAACAGTCAGACACAATAAAAAACATGATTTAACGTAAATTGTGGTGCTCATGCTACAGAGACTGGACTCACTAAACATCAGTATGTTTTATCATTTACTATAAAAATATGTGATGGCCTTCAGATATTATACACCCACAGACACATCTATCGGCCCACTTAGTGTAAGTAGCTTCATCTCTCTGTAGTAAAAAAATATAACTAAATGAGATTGAGCAATAATAATATATTTTTAAAAACACCCGAAATAGATGGTTGACAAATCAGCTTCATAGCTGTGTAAAACTTCTTGCTCTATGTTATATATATTTTTAGCTAGGGACCAACAAAACCATTTAGGTCCAAACATTTAATACTAGGTGGGCTGAAAGACACAATTAAATTCAAAAAACTAACCAAAATATTTTTTTCTCCCCTTAGTTTGATGATTTACTGTTAGAGAATGCCTTGTGGCATTCAGTCCGCCATTTGTTGAGTGACAATAAAGAGTAAATAAATAAAAAAATATTTAGTCCTAAACTAAGCAGAGCTTGTACTATGGAAAATAAATAAAAATAATAATATTACCAACACTCACACCAATTAGCCTAGCCCCAAAGTAAGCACTTTAGGCTTGTGGAATACTAGGGTGATGGATAGAATACATATATAAGTATATTTATAAAGAAATTCATATTAAACATACATGAATGGAGTACAAATGCTCGTATTTATCACACAAACATCTGCCCCCACCGGGCTTCGAACCCGGGACCTGTCGATTTGGCAACACTTTGAAACCTGGCATATAAGCCACTCGGTCAAGGAGGTCATCAACAAATAACATTATACATAAATAATAATATAAACAGTTATGTCTGCAACTCGGGACCTTTGTTGAAAGTGGTGGGTTAAATTTTATATGTCTTTGTCAAGGTCATGAATCCAAGCATAAGAATAAATCACAAGCCTCAAGGCAATTCATCGAAAATCAAAATTTCATGTTTATTCTTTTGTTTATTCTTTAGGCCTTCATCTCAAATCCCACTAGACATAAAAAATTGTATGAGTATGTCAAAGGTCATTTAAGAAAATGATTTTGTTTTCAATATGATAGTTTACCAAATGTCTGCAATTTGTTGTTTATGTTGCTCTGGAATACTAATCAGATCCTTTTCAGTGGAATAATTCTTCTGCCTCTCTGCTAACATGTCTCGAAGTCTGCTCTCAGTTGTCTCAGTCATGTAGGATATACCTTTAAATTAAAAAAAAAACATAATGGCAATAAGACAAATAAAAGATAATAATCATCATATACACAAAATAACAATCTAACAAAAAAATGGATTAATTGAATGAATTTATTTTATTTATTTATAATGTATATTTACAGCTCTCTGGCCAACACATATATACATTTTAGAATAAAAATACAGTACAATGATTGAAAAAAAAAGCACACACATAAATTTAACAAGACAAAAAAGGAAGTAAAAACATAGTGAGGAATTATAATCTATTCTATAGCTTAGAAATAAATATATCTTCGCTATTAAATTGGTTAATGGACCAGCAAAAATATTAGCCTCCTGATAATTATTTTTAGAGCCATAAATATTTTACCTATTCCTTACCATTGTTTATTAGGGGGAAGAATTGTTTTTATTTAAAAAAAATGGCATTGATATTTAGTGGTATCCTCTTTGATAAAAAAGTGTGGCAAACTTGGTATCATTATTTTTTTCAATAATGCTTTATATTATCTGTTATATTTATAACCAACCTTCTTTTATCAATTTGTTGAAGTCAAAACCTTGAGAAGCTAAGAAATCCAAACTTGAGCTTTGGCACAAAAACATCTTCTCCGGGCCAGGCCTCCGAGGATACAAGTAAAAGTTGTAGGCCTCGTTCAAATAATGCTGTTTTTTGTCGTTCCAGTAAAATGCACACACTCCATACTGAATTAATAAAAATTCACTAGCACCATTATATAGCCGAATGTAGTACTCAGCTGGAGAATCAAATATAGACACGTCTCGACCGTTCATAAGGCCCGTGAACTCTGCATCGATAGCCAAGAAGTCTGCCTTTTCTATAGATTCACTTACAAGGGGTAAAATTTCTTTAAAATCTGAAACAGATAGTTTATAGAAACTTTGTATCACGAAATCGTAAATGTGAGAAATTAAAATGGTTTAAACAAAACTAGCGCAGCTCACTTTTTCTAGTGACTTCCATGACTGGAATTTTATCATATGAAAAATAAGCAGTGCATGTAATAAGATTTATTTAGTTAATCTAAAATTCTAAATCCAATCACAAAGACCAAAGCATGCACGGGTGCTACAAATTATAATGTCAATGTCAAATAATGACATATTGACATCACACCATTCATCGCATCTCTCTAATCTGTGGACCAGTCCGAAACCGAGGTCCGAATAAATCCTAAAAGTTGTGTCCGTGACTTAGAACTCAGTTACGTAAACTCGATCAATCTTGATGTTCTTACATATGCTATTAAGTTCTGATTGAATTATTGTCTAAATAATGTAAAAGTTGGAAAAAACTTTCTCTTTATCTCACGGTATAAGCTGACGTCACGGTCAAGGCCGGTGAACCTACACCACCGGACCAGCCGTAAGCGAAAACGCAATCTTTTATTTATCTTCATAAAAGCAATAAAATGAATGTTCACAGAAAAATGGAAAATACCGCCCTAATCATTGACATCGCCTCTATTTGTGGTCAATAGATTTAGGGTCCCACTCAGAGAGACGACAATCTCTTTTAAAAGTTAATAAAGTTTATGTTGTTTCTTATGCCTGTCACTATCAATGCAATGAAACAACACGTCGTCGCTTTAAACTTGATTACCTACATACTAACTTTTTGTTGATTGACTTCTTTGAATGCGACTGGTAGAAATTTATTAGAATATTAAAAAGTAAAAATAATAATTGAAGAAGTAAGTCGGTAATAGTAGATTGCTTATATTATCATAAACTTGCACAGTCATAAACTGTGTATCTCCTTTATCGTTTATTTATAAGATACTAGTGGGAAATCGCGACTTCATAAAAGTAATAAATTCTTTACTCATACAATCTTCCACTCCCCTTTTCACTCAGTTAAACGATGATTTCCGGTATGAAAACAATCCAATGTCCTTTTCCGGAACTTTACCTATATCTGTACCAAACTTCAACTAAATCAGTTTGGCGGTTTAAGTGTGAATGGATAATATTTGCAGAACATACACAACGAAAGAAATAAAACCCAACACTTTAATTCATACTTTAATAATCGTAATAGCATTAACTGAAGAACATTGACACAGTAAACATAAATAAAGGCACTTCATCATTACTCATTTAAAATCTAAGGCTTGACTAGTTTCTCTCTAAGGCTTGACTAGTTTCTCAGCTTGAACGGAAAGACGCTCGTATGCAGCCTTATTCCTGTACAGGTGAATATTCGCCTGTACTTTCTTCAGCAACAACCGTGGGTCAATATCACACAGTTTCAGGAGGGCGTCTGTAAAACATAAACGGTACCCTTAGCACGAACCATTATCGAATTCGAATAGTTAGGCGTGTGCGAAATGACAATGTCAAAATTTGTATGGAAACTTCTCTAACAGCGCTATAACGGACGTAACGAGAACTAGAAAATCAGTACACATTTGACTATGACATTTCACACTCGCAAACTAATCGAATTCGATATTGGTTTGTGTTAAGGGTACGGAGCTATTTAAAACTAACCGTTTTATTACAAAACGTAGACTAAAGTTAAACCTGGACTAAAGTGATGCTGTCACTTTCGTTTACTAAAAAGAAGACATAGACAAGATTAGTTTTAACCAAGGCTAACTTTAGTCCGCGTTGTATATGGCGGTTATTGATATATTTCCGATACAAAAATCTATCGAGAAGAGGGGAAACATTATTACGCATCAATATGTTTATATTTTCCTGTGTTGTCATGATCAATTGAAGAAAAGGTTATAGAAATTGATGATACAACTCAGCGCAGTGTTTACTGCGATGATGCAACTATTCTTTACAACTATTGCAACAACCGTACATCGGATGGATTACCAAAAATATAGCTTCAAGCTCCTACGTGTGTTTTAATTCATCCCTCTGGGGTACCACAGGGTTCTTTGATCGGGCCTTTTATGTTTAATATTTTTATTAATGATGTCTTCAAATGGTTTGTTTTTTTTAAATATGTCTTCTTATACATATAAGTTATTTTCTATAATAGGTACAATGATAGTCTTATTTTTGAAAATGATCTTGCTAAGTGACCCAAATAAACGGAACCTTAAGTTATGAAAATATCCAGATGGTGGTTAGCGCATTCGGCTTGCAATCGTGAAAGTTAAGCAACTTTCGCAATGGTCGGTCATTGGATGGGTGACCAAAAACTTATTATCTTGACCTCCTCCGTGCTTCGGAAGGCACATTAAGAGGTTGGTCTCGGCTGCATCGGCAATCGTTAGCACACACCAATCTACACTGCGCCCGCATGTTGATGGCCCAATTTACCTATTCCGTCCATAGGTAAGGCTTGTGCCCCAGTAGTGGGGGCATTAATTAGCTGATGATGAAAAAAAGCTCGTTCATACTGACCCAGGACTTCTTTTCTGAACGACTCCTCGGTATCGTCAAGATGTATTAACATCGCGCTATATAAAGCGTCGATGTGTGCCCCGTACACTACAATATCGTACGGGTCGGGCCTGTTCTTAAACAGCGTACATAAAGTTTGTACGGCGTACGAGCGCACCTTGTCGCTGCTGTCGTCGAGCCGTTTTATCACCACTGGATAGAAGAAAAAGACTTTGATTAGTAGAATTAATAGTCGTAAGTTTTCATAATCACACTAATATTATAAAGGCGAAAGTTTGTGAGTGTGTGTTTATATGTATTTCTTCACCTCTAAACGGCTGGAGTGATTTTAATAAAATTTGGTATGGAGTTAGCTGACACACTGGATTAACACATAGGCTACGTTTAACTGCGGGAAAATATCCCTAATAAACCGCGGGTAACACTGCCGGATTTAGGGGAGGGCAACCGGGGCGAAAGCCCCGGGACCTCCACAAACGGAGGCCCCCATAATAGACTTCGGAAAAAAAATCTTTCAAATTCCAACTAGTAAACACTAGAAAACATCTTTTCGGTTCCGTTCGATAACTCTATTTCAGATAATTCTTGTTTCCGTTTATATTTATATGTGTTTGTTCAATACTAAGGGAATCTACTCGACTGAAAAAAAAATTTTTACTTTATTTGGAAAATAATTTGGGGTGACGGGGCCTCCGCTCCTCTGTTGCCCCGAGGCCTCTGGACCTCTAAATCCGGCCCTGGCGGGTAACATCGCGGGGCACAGCTAGTTATGTATATTTGTTTAACACAATCATGCAAAAACGGCTGAAAGAATTTGAATGTTGGCACACATATAGTTTATTACCTGGATTGAGACATAGGATAACTTTTATCCCTTAAATCTTAAGGGGCGAAAGCTAGTAATAATTATTTCTCACACTTATTCCAATTAACTTAGCCCCAAAGATAACACAGTAAGGCTTATGTTATGGAATATTAGGACATAATATAGGCTCCTTTTGGGTTAGCTCGCTACACCGTAGATTCCATCTCTGTTCTCAGGCTGCATAGAGGAACAAGACCTTACCCATTAAAGAATATAAAAATATTGAGATAGGCCTTGAGTGATGTGCGTGAAAACCTAAGAAATAAATAGGTCTTCTTAAAATAGTAATTTTAAGTATATTAAACTTTATAAGACTAAGACCCCATAAACTTCATAGTTTAGGCGGTCTAATGTAGTAATAAATAAAGTTACATAATCCATGTTAAGTATTAAAATCCACTTGTAATCGCAAAAAGCTTAGTGTGAACCTCAGAACAAGAACTAAAGCATAGTGCTTAAATTCAACTCATGAAATCGACTCATATAGTTACCTCTTTTTTACATATAGACCAAAAAAGAGAAAGATATATTGCTGGAGATTGCTATAAACAGCAGCGTGCGTACAACCACTACATAGACTTAATATCTTTGGAATATCGAAACGCCACGAAAACAGCATTTTATGCCATCAGTAGATATTCTCAATAAATATTCTTATTTTCGATATCATCTCGAAGTCGATATAACATATACGCCGCGAGAATTGGGGCTCCGTTCTGGTTCTGAGGTGTGAACATACTGTAATCTCACCGAAGTATATTTTGTTCAAGACTTCAGCAGAGAAGCATCCGCGTTGCTTCGCCAAATTGCTGAGGTAGCATATGGCTCGCAACGAGTGTTGCCGCGTAAGAGTCGAGTTGTCATCAGCGAGGCCTACTAGAAGCGGCGCCATCTTGTCTATGAACGGCTCTAGGGACTCTCTGGTTGGGAATAGGTTTACTTCCTGTGGAAAATACAATTGAGGTAGTATGGGATGGGCCCATAGATAAAGACCGAGCGACACTGCCACGAATTTGACAACTTCTTAAAGGAATGAAAGGTTTATGCCCGCACAATCGCTTTGTCTCTCTCACAATTATCAGACCAGTTTCACTTTATTTATAGTTTTATTGGAAACGTTTAGTGCATTTGCAGTACGAAAATACTTTCTATATTAGCAGCTTCTATATTAGGTTCCTGTGGGATTCCCAAAAAAACAAAAGTTAATGCAGACAAAGTCGCGTGCGGCCGCTGCTAGTATCTATATCATAATCAAACCAATAAATTAGCTTTAAGTACCTTTTCGTTCTTATCGCCGTCGCCTCCCTTGTCGACGCTAATGACGTCACCGTTCTGCGGCGATTCTTGTAGAGCGGAGCTCAAGCATGCGATTGCCGCCGTACGAATAGCTTCGGATATCCTGCCCGCTGACCACACCAGGTTCGGCATTATCACGTCTGGTAACACCGGTTTTGTTTCTTAAACTTCCACTCACTCGAATCATTTAAGCCTCGATGACACGGGGCGAGTAGCAGATGGCAAAAAAGCCGATGACACGAGGCGAATTTACAAGCTACAAGCCAGCACTCGCTGGCATTCGCTAGTAGCTTGTAAACTCGCCCCGTATCATTGAGTAGCAGATGTCAAAAAAGCCGATCACAAGCTGCTAGCAAACTCGCTGGCTTGTAGCTTGGAAACTCGCCCCGTGTCATCGAGGCTTTACGGCCAGTTTCAATAAATCAATGTCCAGTAAGAGTAGGTACTATTAGAGCTTAGTGTCCGTAGATAATTTATAACTCAATCAGTTACTGAATTTCGATAAAAACTGAAAAGATTACCTTTACTGGAGGCTCAGGGCTTAGCGGATGATATATATAAATATTGTACATATAACGTCTGAGGAAATAACTTCCACCTTACAGAAGATCACAGTGAAATAACACTACCTTTTGGTGGTGTTATGTGTCTATCTGTTAGGGTAGGCAACGGTACGAGTGATATATTTTTGTTATCGTAATCGGCCTATAGGCGATTGTATGGTGGCCATTTAGCATCAGGAGGGCCATACGCTTGTTTGCAAAATCATTGATCGCTTGTTGATCATTGAAACTGGCCGTTAATAAAACTTCTTCTTCTATAGATTTTAAACAGTAGTCACAAGATTACGCAGTCTCAAAACGATCCAATTATGTATGAATTAAGTAAAAATCTATAACAGCGTTTATGCTTATTTCGCTTTATTGTTTTGTTATCCTTGTAGATTGGATTACTGTACATATTTAATAGACACAAGAGCGTTTTTAAAAAAATACTTCTCTTTCAGAAAATAACTTTCCAGAAAAAAATAGACGCCTGCCTTGTTACGATTCCAACTCAGCATTTGAGATGTCAAGAAAATATAATATATTTACTACATATTGTAAACAACTGAATTGGAATCGTAACAAGAGAAAATATATAAAAATGAATGTTCTCGTAGTAGATAGAAATTCTATGTTTACCTTCGATGACTACCTTGAGGAATGCCTCCAGTTTATCACTGTCGCACTTGCAGAAATTGTTCTGCCGCTGCAGCAGCACCGTGGAGAGAGCGGTGAAGATCTTCAGCCTCACCTCCGGGTCCACTTTCGGCGTAGCCAGACACTCCTTGAGGAGAGGAGCGATCAGGTGTAGCTGACCACCCATGGCTGATCCTATAGGACCAACAAATATGTTTAAAATAAACTCAGATGGTTAGAGTTTATATATAATGCTGGTAACGACAAAAGACGGTGAATATGTTCAGCCTTACTTCTGGGTCCACCTTGAGCGTCGTTAAACACTCCTTGAGGAGAGGAGCAATCAGGTGCAACTAGCCACGCATAGCTGATTTTTAAGACCAACAAATATACCATTTAGAGTTAAAATAAATAAACTCAAATTGTTGTAGGCAGTAAAGATCTTCACTCTCACTTCAGGGAGCGATCAAATGTAGCTGGCTACCCAACACCCATCGCTGATCCTATAGCACCAACATTAATATACCGATAACAGACTCAATCAAATAAATAAATAAAAAAAAATGAACAAAATGTTATGATGCTGATAACGACGAAGGGCAGTGAAGGTCTTCAGCCTCATCTCCAAATTCACTTTGGGTGTCGCCAGATACTCCTTATGGGGAGCTATAAGATGCAACTGGGCACCCATCGCTGATCCTATAGGCCCTACAAATATGTTTACAGACACAATAAATAAACTCAAATTGTTATAGGCACTGAAGATCTTCAGCCTCACTTCGTGGTCCACTTTGGGCGTCACCAGAGACAGAACAGGTGCTACTGGCCATCCATCGCTGATCTTGTAGGACCAACGAATATTTTTATTTATTTAATACCACAATACATATATTTTGGTACGGACATATTGTTTGGTATTTACAACAGATATATTTAAAATAATATGGTAAAGGGACTCGTGTCTAACTAAACTGGGCAGTAAATTACCTGTGTAATAGAACTTATAACAACCGCCCTGGCTGGCTCATTAGCTGTTCGGGATGGGAGGGAGGGCCTACTCAGTAAAACTCCGAGATGTGCCCTCTCCTTGCCCTAATACTTACAACTAATGCTTGCTGTGCTTGCTTGTTGGTAATCTAGCATGCCGCCCCGGCATAATCACCTCACCTAGGAACAAGTTCCTAGCTTCAATCAAGTCTTGGTCTAACCTAATCGCATGAGCGCATACTCGAATAGACATCAGTCTGATGTGAGCAGGGTCCAGGTCCAGGATAATGCATCGCTAGTGATTTCAGCGAGCACACGAAGAATATACTTCACATGAAGGCTGATGAGGGTAGTAATGCCATCCTCCTTGTGTTGGAATTCATAAATAGCTCTTGCTCTTACCTGATCGCATAATCAGAGAGTCGATCAGACGCCAGTCTGGCACGAACAAGACCCAAAATAGCGAGCACTCGATGGTTGTGCTTCAAGTACTCAGGTACCTTTGACGACCTCCGTGGCCGAGTGGTTTGTACGCCGGGTTTCATGGTGTCGCCGACTCGAGAGGTCCCGGGTTCGAATCCCGATGGGGGCAAATATTTGTGTGATGAATACGAGCATTTGTACTCCAGTCATGGATGTTTAATATGTATTTCTATAAAAATATACTTATATATGTACAGTTTATGTATGTATTCTATCCGTTACCCTAGTATCCCATAACACAAGCTTTATAGTGCTTACTTTGAGACTAAGCTGATTGGTGTGAGTATTGGCAATACTTATTTATTTACTAGTTGACCCCGCGCACTTCGTACGGGTTGAAATAACTTGGAAGAAATGACTGTACCAAAAGGGACGAACGTCAAATGTTTGACAGGAAAGAAGATAGAATAGTTTATATGGAAAATTAAATTGACGTTTTTACGATATTCCTAGCAATTTTTCGATATTTTCTCACATTTTAAACCTTCCCTAGACCTCCACGAACATTTCAAGACCAAGATAAGATAAATTCGTTCAGCGGTTCTCGAGAAGAAGAAGAAGAGAGAGTTCTTTAGCGAGACTAACGAACAGCAATTGATTTATATATAAATACTAGCGGACCCGACAGACGTTGTCCTGTCTACACGTCTTTAATTTGAAAATTTGATACTGCGATGGTAGCGCCATCTGTCGGATCCAATGTAAAACATTTCAAAATCAACAACTACTAATAAATTAAAAATTAATTAAAAAAACATTGTCCAGCGGACAAAATTGTGAATCTAAACCATTCTCAGATCCCCTTGAACACACACAAAAAATTTCATCAAAATCGGTCCAGTCGTTTAAGAGAAGTTCAGTGACATACACACTCACAGAAGAATTATATATATAAAGATATATATATATATATATTTAACCACTTAGGGATAGTCTACCGCAATTTTCTGTATCTAAGAGTTTCTCAAATAAAATCTTGACCTTACCTGATCGCATAAGCACACACTCGAGAAGACATCGGTCTGGTGACAACAGGGTCCATGATAATGCATCGCTGGTAATATCGGCCAGTACGCGACGAATGTGCTTGTCATACAGGCTGGTGAGAGTGCGACCACAATTCTCTATGTACCGTAGCTTATCCAAATTCGCTGAACGGAGGAAAAAGACAGAAGGCAGAATAAATACTTAGGTACCCTCATCATTAAGTTTTCCCTAATGACAGGCAGCTTCTATGGCGTTTCTTTCTTAGCTGCCTTTTCCATTAAGTTCCAAACTAAGAATAGGTAGTAAAAACACACTTTAAAATTTACCAAGCACGTAAAGAATATCATTATGGGGTGTACTAATATGTAGGGCGAAGGTACAATATTGTAATTGAAATGTTTGTATGTTTTATGACTCAATCACGCAAAAACAGCAAAATGGATGCCGATGAAATTTGGCACAAATATTCCTGGATTGAGATATAGAGCACTTTTGATCCCGGAAAAATGTTAGGTCCCTGTGGAATCCCCAAAAAACTAAAGTTAACAAAAGGTACTACTTACATAGCGCCATGAACTGTATACTATCATCCACAGGCATAGCGTACACTGTGAAGTTGATGATGAACAGGTCCTCAGCAACAGGTATGCAGTCTTTCTTACACAGGTCCATCAGGGCTTCTGTCACGTGGAGCAAGTTGGTTTGATACTTCGGCTGGCGATAACAACGAAAATATTCTTTTCATCACATTTGCTAAAAAATGCATTGACGGAGGTTGTAAACTTTGTTCGAAAGTTCAAAATTACGGGCTATACAATGGAGCATGCGGTAAAACATTTTACCGCACGCTCCCATTCATGGCGCCGCCGGCGTGGTGATTGCATTTATTTCGCCCCGCCCACTTGGTTGCAGTTGGTATGTAACATTATTCCTTTGTAATATGGTTGTTATTAGGTTCAAACTTAAAACTGTTTTAAAACGTTTGCCTTTGTTTATTAGAAAACGAATGTAGTTGCATACATACACACGCGGACAATTTTTTGCTTGAATTTTGTATGAAACCCTTTATCTATAATATTGTAGATCGAAGTCACCACTCCAGCAAGTAATATGGCGTGAAATGAGGATCACTACTAGGTCAGTAAATCAACTAAAAATCAACACTATAATGATCTAATAAGCTTTTTAATTAATATACTTTTTAAATCATCGAAATCGGTTCATTCGTTGTGATTTTATAACTAATTTTAAGGTAGCCAATGTTAACCGGCGGCCGAAACGTGTGACGTCACGGTCGAACTTCAGTAGCGTCTTTACGCACGCTTGCGCCTGAGCGCTAGAGCTCTCTGACGTCACAGCCACAACGAGATCAGCCGAAAATTCGTTTAGTAATTTGGTCATAACTTCGTCAATATTTGTCGTAGAACAAAAATTTTACCACTGTATTTTATGGAATCCCTAGCTCTAAAAATCTGCATTTTCAACTAAACTCTTTACGGATCCTCATTATGTCAAGGATAATCTTCCTTGCGCGAAACACATCTTACCTTCCTCACTCGACATCTATCAGGATCCGCCAGCTCTTTGGTAAGTTCCTTCAGAACTTTCTCCTTAACCAATTCTGGGCGGGAACCTTTGATAATATTGGCTATAACGAGCAAGGCGCCCCACGAATCCACCTCGGCTTCCAGCAAGGGCCACCACGTAGCTGGTTGGATGAAGTAACCAAACAATTCCGATGCACGTTTGATCTATACAATAAATGATGACATTATAGAAGACAGCTTAAATAAATAAAAAATTAAAGACTATTGCTTTATCAGATTTATATTTTTTAAGCATTTAACTGCAAGATGTTTATTAAATCTAGCAGCAAAATGCATTAAAAAATAAGATATAATAAACTGCAATTGCTATTTCTTCTTGCAAATGTTTATTACCTGTAAATGTATTTCGTTTCACATTGTGGGTTACCTACAATGCGAAGACATGGCGCTGCATTGCAGCCTAAGAAATACTAGAAGAAAATCGATACGGCTACTAAGGTCGCGGTAGCATAATTTGTAGTGCATCCACCCGATAAGCAGAGGGTGCGTGTTCGAGTCCGCTCTGCTGCCTGGATCGCGAAGAATTTATTCTAGTAAAATTTCCTTTAGAAAAAAATATTGTCATCTGATTCAAAATGGGCATCTTTAAAAATCGTAAAAGTCGATAGTTGCCTTAATCCCATTAATACTTAATCATCATCAGCCTATGATGTCCCTACTGCTGTGGCACAGGTCGTCCCCATGGATGGAATAGTGAGATTGGACTATGATGACCCATCAAGCTGACTTAGTGACGATTTACGGGTGCTAACGACTATTACATGTTGACAGGTTGCATTTGACATTAGTTCGCTTCCTGATTCGCTATCGTAACGGTAACCAGAGTATACCAGCCATATAAAGGTATCCAATTTGACGCTTGTATAGCGGTACAAGGAGCTCTATGGCGCAAGTGGATAGCGCGTTCGGCTGCGATCGTTGAAAAATTGCAGAAAAATTTAAGCAGTGGGAACGTTAATAGGCTGATGATGATGATGATAGTAAAAATAAAATATACACATACTTTAGTTCTTGCTGTGAGATTGTACTGTAAAAGAAATCGCACCTACCTCCAACGTGACCCTAGGGTCGTCATCGGCAGCACCTCGATGCAAGGTCCTAACAATAGTATTGGCATGTTGCGTGGCGCCCTCTTCCGCGCACAATATGAGCCAACACAGTAGCTGAGACGAGCGGAGGCGCGCGTCCGCCTGCCAACCCTCCATTTCTGTACCCCAAATATTAAATAACTAGCTGTATTACCCGCGGTTTATTAGGGATATTTTACCGCGATAAAACATAGCCACCCGCGGTTTATTAGGGATATTTTCCCGCGATAAAACATAGCCTTGTTTTATTCCAGGGTGTCAGCTAACTCCATACCAAATTTTATTGAAATCGCTCCAGCCGTTTAGACGTGAAGAATTAACAAACATACACACCCACAAACTTTCGTCTTTATAATATTAGTGTGATTTATTTATTACATACAATAAGTAAATAAAAGTACTTGTATACAAGGGCGTGGCCAGCTGATGGCGTATTTGCCCTAGATCGAAGCATTGGCCCGGGACGGCGGGCTGCAAAGGGCTTGCAAGAGCTACAAAGTTCGGCAGAAGCCATAATTCTAGCCCTTGTGCAAAGCGTAATTAAGCGCCAGATTTTAAAATACGCCCCTGAAGAATCAGGGGCGTATTTACCCTAGGGCTAAGAGAGCCATTACCCGGGTTGGTAGGCTGCGAGGGGCGGGTGATATAGGTACGAGGAGTGGCAGAAACCATATAAAGCCGCGAGGGGCGGGTGATAGAGGTACAAGGGGTGGCAGAAACCCAATAAAGACATTCGTGCTGACATATATTTCGGTTATATTTACTAATTCAAAGATCTGAATTGGCCTGGGGCGCTAAAATTCAAGATACGCTTGTTTATCTGTGATATACTACAGTAAGTGTCTATGTTAAACCAGATCAAATCTTGTTTATCTCACAATGTCGATAATGGAAATAACAATGAGAACTGCAATGAATACCTCGTCCAATAGCAGGCACTATTTTCCCAATGTTGGTTTGCACCAGATGTCTACATCCAAGGTTTGGCCTCTTAATATCAGGGTAATGTGATGGAACATCTTTTAGAAAATCAGTCCGCTTCTTAAGATCTTCTTCATTTTCCTCCATATACTGTGAGCCTATGTCATCCCAGAGCCTCGTTGCTGTTTCTCTAACATCAGCCATTACATCACTTAGACTGGAAGAAATTATTTAAGTATAAAAAAAACTTATTTTCCCCTAAAGCATGTTTTGAGTTAGTATCTTTATAATGATATGGGTTGCGACAGTTCAATGTGAATGAACTACTGTTTTATGTTGTGTTACAGTTGCAGCAGTATTTCATATGTGCAGGGTGAGAACCATATATCCCAAGCAAGTAATCCTGAAAACTATTCTTATTAAAATGCTCACAAAATAAAAGGGTTAATTCAGTTTGCAAACATACAATTACCTAGTCAATAGTAGAGGTATCATGCGGTGCCAAAATGAGTATCTATCCCTATAGTTTAACATCCAGTTGCCAACCTCAAGAGTGACTTGCAAGCGAACCTGTGTATTTTCATCAAATAGTTTTTCTGCCATTGGTGTGATTGACAATTCAAAACATTTTACATTTCCTGCCTGTACTATGGCACCTGAAAAGTTACAAAAATAAATATTTAATAAAATGCTAAGAAAAGCCAGGAAACTGTTATTGTTTGCAAAGATTAAGATTTGTTTAAAACTAAAACAAAGTCAAATATCATCATTTTGAGAATTAAGAAGTACAATTTCTTATGAGGAAAAACAATATTATTTTACCAATTGTTTTTACAGCAGCAACTCGAACTCTGAAATGTTGATGAGAAAAATTTGACAGTACTGGTTTCACATAGCTTTCAGATTGAAAATGAAAGTCTCTTTGGAGAACTTTAGTCACAAGAACTATACATTCGCATGCTTCCAACTTCACTTTGGGAAATGGGTCGGCACTTGTCTTGCTTAATATACTTGTAAAATCATTCATGAACGAGCTAAGCAGATGAGTTGATTTATATTTTTCAATTATCCTGTGGACAAGTTCTATTAGAACCAAACGTATTTCTTCAGATTCTTCAATTATTTCAGGGCAACCAATACGGCGGACTATCACAGGCATGATATATGTCAAGTAATAATCATTGAGGGGCAAACGATCGACAAAATTTGAAATAATCATAGCGGAAGCCTCACGGCAAGCTTCAGAAGCATCTGAAAAACTTTTCAGCACATAGGCGTATATCTCAGGGAACACTACAGTCAAGTCACAATCCTCGTGCTCGGGGTTATCAAATATCTCTTTGTTGATGCTAAGGAGAGCTTCTTTACGAGCCATTTTCGATTCACTTTGCAACGCAATTATGTATGGCTCCAGCACTCTTTTTGGGTTATCTTGTATTTTCATCTTTGGCTCCGTCATTTTTTTATCATCGAGATTCTAAATTAATTTGTGGCTGATATTGACAAAACGACAAAACGAACTTTTCCCTAAAATATTTTATTGATAAACAACTCCGTTTCCATGCCAACCAATTTGACATAGGGTGAAGAATGAAATTCTTTCATATCCATTCATTTCATTCATTCGTGTTGGAGACACGAACCAATAAACAAGGATGTAGTATAGAAAGTTGGTGAATTAACGCCATACAGGAACACTCCAAGCATATTTAATCTGTGCTCTAAATCCACGTGCACCAATCACAGTTCGCCAAGTAAAACTGTCAACGTTTTCAGTCATTTTTATGGACGAGATTCTTCTATGATTTCAATTTGCTTTCCAATTCTAACTAAGCCGCATACTTTAGCTCATTTCAGGACAATAATTCTTTTTTAGATTAAGTGTTCATATAGTTCAAACAAAAATGTGTAGATTCAGTGTGTTTCATTTATTATTTTTGGCAACAGTGGTGCAAATCGCTGTCGCACTGCGAGAGGGCGAATGTGAGGTTTGTGTTAAGACTGTCGACAAATTCGCTGCCACGTTAACAGAGGATGTGAAGAAGGACCCTAAAAAGATAGAGGTTGAATTTAAGAAGTTCTGTAAGGGCTCTAAAAATAAAGAGAATAGGTTCTGCTATTATTTGGGAGGCTTGGAGGAATCCGCCACCGGCATTCTTGGTGAGCTATCTAAACCTCTAAGTTGGTCGATGCCATCAGACAAAATCTGTGAGAAACTAAGAAAAAAAGATGCACAAATCTGCGATTTGAGGTTCGATAAACAGATAGACCTCAACAATGTCGACCTAAAGAAATTAAAAGTTCGTGATTTGAAGAAGATTCTCAACGACTGGGACGAGGTGTGTGACGGATGTATCGAGAAAACCGACTTTATTAAGAGAATAGAGGAGCTCAAACCCAAGTATATGGGAAGATCTGACTTGTAAAAATCCTAGTACAATTGAATACTTTTTAATAGGTGAGAATAATATATTTTTTCTTTCTATTTCTAAATAAAATCTCCCTGACTTGACTGATGATAGTAGATTTGATTATGCATTTAAAAAAATGCTTGTATAATCTTAATTACATTTCATTGTTCTGTATTACTGATTTCCCTGATTATCTCAATAAATTTGGTGTCATGTTGTTTCAGGTAATGTGGGCCTAGCATATGGGCACAGCATCACAGTGATTGTGACAATTTGATCAACAAGAACAGAGGTCCTAGTGTTAACTAATCTATAATATTTGAACTGTATGCAGTGTATGTACTTGTGGCGAATGAGTGTGTACATGGAGAAATAAATTATTAATGTATTTAAGTAAATATTTTTAAATTATTTGTTGATTTTTTATTTCTTTTTTTAATATTACCTAATAGTAATGACTCATAGCTGTACTTGAAATCGAGAGCAGGGTATGAATAAAAATTTAAATGTTTTTCTAAGAGGTATCTTGCCAATGATTATTTATATGCTTATTGGGCATAGTAATTTCTTTAGTATTATAAATACTGTAGATAACATAATACCACAACAGGAGTCACCATGTGTGCGTGATCTTGATAGAAATCTTGTCTGTTTAGCATAAGTATAAATGGAATATCCATTGGATATGATGATCAAATCATATCTGTGTGTAATAAATGATCTGTTATTTGGCATTATCTTATAAGATACCACAAGTGCTTTCAGTTGGTAGTCGTAAATAGATTTTAGAGACTAGATTCATTGCTAATCCTACAATAAATAATTTGTTGTAGTACATTTAATATCAGAAACAAAGTAATCACAAATACCCAGGATTTTAGTAAATTTCGTTTTGTTCATTGACCTGGCCTGTATCTCAGCAGAAGGCCTCATCACAAAACAAAATGAACAGAAAACAATATATGTAATACAACAAACAGTAAGCTGCCTTATCCATCCATAGCTTAGCTCAGATACTATTTATTAGTACCTACTAATAAGCTGCAATTTGGTACAGATATAATGGTCATCACAAGATAAAATCTTTTTAGGATAAAATGGCAGCATGTCTGCTCTTTCTAATGTTCCTGTTTTGAATCCTGGTGTGGCTATTTATGTGTGAGAAGCATTTTTTTTGTCCCCTCCATTTACTCATCATCCTCTAATAAACTTAATATTTTACATCAATTATTGAGTATTCATAATTTTTAAGTACAGGCAGTGGTTTGAAACAAATGTTCAGTTATACTTATTAATATTATTATTGAAATATATTAAATTAGATCTACCTATTTTACTTGAGAGCTAAAGTTAATTTCTACTCTGGCCAAGTAAGAAGTTCTTACAAGGATAAATAATTGAAACAATTTATTTTTGACTATTTTTATTGTGGTTATGACATGAGAACTATTACGTAGATAAATATTGGCATGCAGACATTCCAAACATAAACAGATGTTTTAAATATCAGACTATAAGGTGTATGCTCTCCCTTTAGTGGTATTTGTAGTTCCTGTGGTGCTCTGTAACAAAAAAAATACATCTTTATACTGACAACAAAATGAAGTCTAAAAAATGCAATTTTTTAACACAGTTTTCAATTTAAATAGTAGTCATCAATCAAATGACCGTAAAGAATAATATAAAAGTTTTAATAACTAACTCATCTTTCCATAATTAATAACATAGAAGAAAGTCATTGATCCAACAAGAAGCTGGAACAATGGCGCCATGCCCACTTTCTTGGGCTGCATGTACTTATGCTGCCATCTCCACCAAGCTGTGAAAATAAAAGTTACTATCATTATAAAAAATAATTCTAAATATCATACTGATTTTAATTACATACAGGGGTCTGTTTCAAAGGAGTCATCAAGTTAGAAGAAAACAATACAGAAACAGTAACAATACAGTACCACAACAACCCAGGTAATTTGAGCTCAGAAAAAAGAAACTAAAATACTTTATAAATTTCTCAAATATTAATTAAATGAACTTTATTTTTATTGTATTCTTTCATCACTAACATTTATTTGCTAACACTACTTAAAAACTTGGTAACGCAGGTGATGATCATTTTAGATTTGGAATTCCTTTCTGGAATGATAATTTTAATTTTTACCTACCAAAGACTTAACTTATGTCATAACCTCAAATCACATAGTTTGTAATTACCTCTGCTGCAAGCACCAGCTACAGCTGATGGTGACTTATTCCTTCGTGCAAACCAGGAGCCAATCTCGCTGATTTTCAGTTGTCCAAAAGGAGTATCAGCTGAAAAAATAAAAAAATAAATTACATAATCAGACAGAAGTGAATTTCCCAAGGGCATAATTATCAAAGCAGTATACTTACGTTTTCCATAATAACGAGCAGGGTCGTAAGGCCCATGAACAGCTGGGTTGTATTCTTTTGGATAATCACCAAAACCCATGATTTTAACTTAGTAAAATTCAATGAAAAATTTTAGCTTTTTCGGAACACAACCACAGAATAGTACAGAACTCAACTGTCAGTGTCAATTTCATTTTTAACGCTATTTTTAGGGAAGGCAAAGGAAAAAATGCCCATACAGCCTACTCTTCAGTTCTCTATGTTCTTTTTTTTACATTAGAATGTTACAATTTTATTTCAGAATACCCACTATGAATGAATTAAAATATGACGCCAACCTCACTCGATGAAATCCCGCCAAAAATTGGTCAATTTAAAACCAGAAACAAGACAAAAACATTTTGAAGTGATGTTACGTTTTTAGGAGTCGACTAGTTTTAACGGGCTTTACACTACCCAATTTTAAGCGCCCTATCGAAAGGGCGTGACCCCTATATAGGTGTAAAATTGCTAGAATTTTACACCGTGCCGATTGCCCTAGATTGTGTTCCTTAATCCTTAACTCGCATTACACCACCCTTAAGTCACGGTAAGAGTCCCTTAAAATTGGGTATTGTAAAACGGTTATTAGTCATTTCCTTGTAAATCGATTAAAAGGGTTAAATTATTGATAATCTTCTATGGCAATCTAAGGCTATAAATGTTTTTAAAAGGAAAACTGTCAAAATTTGAAGTCTATGATTATACAGCAAATTTCGTTCGATTGCTGAGCAGCTTTTCTTCTTCGATAAATTTCTTTATTATCATAGAAAGTCGTGAATAACATTAAGAAAAATGGTGTTAGAAAGTACTATGATTTGTGTTGACAACAGCGATTATATGAGAAATGGAGATTTCTTACCCACAAGACTTCAAGCTCAGCAAGATGCTGTGAACCTGGTATGTCATTCCAAAACTCGGTCAAATCCAGAAAATAACGTGGGTCTTCTGACTCTAGCTAATGTGGAAGTGCTGGCCACTTTAACAAGTGATGTCGGTCGTATATTATCCAAGCTTCATCGCGTTCAACCAAACGGCGATATTAACTTGCTAACTGGTATCAGAATTGCTCATTTGGCATTAAAACATCGTCAAGGCAAAAACCACAAAATGCGGATCGTGGTATTCGTCGGTTCACCTATCAACACTGATGAAAAGGAAATAGTGAAGCTAGCTAAGAGGTTGAAAAAGGAGAAGGTGAACTGTGATGTGGTCTCCTTCGGAGAAGACTCTGATAATAATCCTCTTTTAACTTCATTTGTCAACACATTAAATGGTAAAGATAACACAACTGGTGGCAGTCATCTTGTATCTGTGCCAGCTGGTGGATGTGTTGTACTCTCCGAAGCATTAATTTCAAGTCCCCTCATCGGAGGTGATGGGGCTGGTCCGTCTGGTTCAGGTTTGTCACCATTTGAATTTGGAGTGGATCCAAATGAGGATCCAGAGCTAGCTCTCGCTCTTCGTGTATCCATGGAAGAGCAGAGACAGCGTCAAGAAGAGGAATCACGTCGGCAACAAGGTAATACTGAAGGTGAAACTGGAAAACCAGCAGAGGCCCAGGACAGTGGTATGGAAAGAGCTCTGGCTATGTCCCTTGGACGAGAAGCAATGGAGCTATCTGAGGAAGAACAAATAGCTTTGGCAATGGAGATGAGTATGCAACAGGAAGCTCCTGCTGCTGAGGAAAATATGGATGTGTCTGAAGAATATGCTGAGGTTATGAATGATGCTTTTCTACAAAGCGTTCTTGAAAGTCTTCCTGGTGTAGATCCCCAGAGTGAAGCTATCCGCAATGCCATGTCTACCATTAAGAAAGACAAAGATGAAAAGGATGACAAAGACCAAAAGGATAAAGATGACAAAGGGTCTAGCTCCAAATAAAAGCAAAACTATTTTTCAATTTTTTTAATTGATCCATTATGCTCGTAAACTTTAACATTAGACACCACTGCTATTGTGTAACTATCACTATAAATTTATAAATAAACATGATATAAATAAATAAATACACTTTATTTCCACGTGATCCAGTTGAGGCCCTCTATTTTGTCATATTCTGCAACAAAAAAGTAATAATTAGAATCAATATTAGCACCTAAGAAAAAATATTTTGAATAGTATGCAATCTACTTTGATCTTGAAAAAAATGTTTGCTCTGAAACTTCTTTTTAATATTATTTAGTTGCTGTCTTCTGTACTCATCATTGAGAGCTTTTGCTTTATGTACTGATATGAAGTCCTGCTTTTCTAAAACAAGAACAAAATTAAAGCCGCACAACATATACCCTTAGTAACTAATATCATATATTTTAAATTATGTACAATATAGGGGAAACCACCCAATCATTGGCACTCCCTTCCAAATATTGGCACTTTGAAGTTTAGTTCCAAAAAAACAACAAAAAAATAGATTATGGATATTTTCTGCCAATTTTAAAATTTTTAACAATACTAGGTTTTTCTTTTATATGTACTGAGCTTGAATAATCTATTATTTCCTTGTTTTTTGAACTATACTCAAGAGTGCTGATGATTGGGTGATTTTTCTTCTTGGTACACGTATATTTTTGAATGCCTAAAAGTTGTTACTTAGCAAGAGTATCTTTTACACCTTTATGATAAATTCATACCAGCTCAATCAAAGTGTGAATTCGCTAAAATAAGTCATTTCTGAAATTTTGGCTCGATGCACTTTGGCTATGGCCTAGTATGAATTGAAAATAGGGAAAATGCATGTAATTCAAATAAGCCTCAATTTATTTTTGTATAAACTATTACTTTTAAGTTATCCCTCCAATATTTGTTAATAAAAGTTCTTTTCTAGCTAGAAATTAGTGATATAAAAGTGCTAAAAACTTGTGGGAAATTCAAATATCTGAAACGCGACGAGCGGTTGCTATGTAAAAATATATACATAACAAACAAACGAGATTATAGTGCGAGTGCGTAGATTTCAAAGCCGCGTTCCACCGAGACACAGACTGCAACTTTTCACTCATTTTTTTTGCCAAAAATGTATGAAACAATGTCTATTTGATTGTCATAGATACCAACTTCCATCCGCAGTATATGCAGCCATATGGAACGCAAAATCTTAGTATCTTGTAAGGTTATTGACTTTTTTACAACATAAACACGGAAAAGTATAATGTATCGTGAAGTCACTTTCGAGTTCCAAAATAGCGCGCGTTAAAATTGCCCGCACAAGTACAATGCGATTCAACTATAACTAATAATAACTTTATTATAAGAATAGGATCGACACCAGATTCAAACCAGTTAGGTAGAGTGAGCAAAAAAGTTTTTCTTTAATAAAACTTATTTACCAGGATTAAGTGGGGGAAAAATATCAGATTTTTAATAATAATTATTTATGAAGATTGAAAAACATTACTCCGACGGTAGTGCAGAGATGCGCGGAATTAAAGAGCTAGATTCTGATTAGTCATCATCATCACTGAAGCTTTAAATAAAACTAAAGTTCTTATATTTTCCTTTTCCAGTACTTATTTTTTATACGTTTCATATGATTTATTTCCTGCTTTTGTTTACAAATGTTTGGTATTTATTAGCTCAGTGCTAAAAAAAGTGTTTCAAGTTTTTTTTGCAAACCGTACTTTTCAAGCGACATTTGACAGATGGAGGTCATTCTCAGTTGAATTGCACAGTAGCTATATTTTTTTCGAATACACACTACTATTTTTTCGACGTAATTTTTTTGTATACTGTATAAAGGGGATCTAAACTACTAAATGAAAATAATAAAAATATATGCATATTCCCTAATATATAGTTATAAAGAACTAGATACATACTGTTATGATCATAACTTAAAAAAAAATAGATTTTAATTAGATTCTGATCAGATCATCCTGTGAATATCCTTATTTTACCTTTGTCATTTGTAATGTTTGTATGATCTTGAATTTTGTTAAGCAACATATAAGAACTTTTAATGTCCTCTAATTGCGGTTTAAAGCTTCTACTATACATTCCAGCTGTAAGAAAAGTTGTTAGAATATAATTTGCAATTTGATTTCCTTCCCAGCGAATTTATGGCAAGATCCAATTAACTTACAATTTGGCCTACCAATATAAGATATAGGTGTTTCCATATTATGTTGTTTCAACCTTTCATTTATAATCTGACGAAGTGGTTCCGACAACTGCTTCTCTTTTTTTCTCTCTACACTTGGTGTACGACAACTAGAATTGCACTTTGGTGATTTAGCTCCTGGTGCTACTTCCTTCTTGTCAGATTTTGGTGTTGCTATAATAAATATTCATAGTTTAAGTGGATCGATAAATAATGCTGAGACAGCTGCTAGCTGTCCGCGACTTCGTCCTCCTTAACTTTAGTTTTTGGAGAATCCCTCAGGAACCTAATATTTTTCCGGGATAAAACGCATCCTATATCTAATTTCAGGTCATAAACTGTATGTGCACCCAGCAGTGTCGTCTTGTCGACCTATTGGAGGCCCTGGGCATATTAGGATAATGGGGTCCCTATGACCCCCGTTTGGTGATCTAACAGGAACTAGGGGCTTTGTATTTGATCTGAGGTGGGCCCAGGGCCCCGGGCACTTGCCCAAAGTGCCCCCTGGGAAAGAGGCGTCTGTGTGCACGTAATTTCATCCTAATCCGTTCAGCCGTTTTTTTCGAGATTGAGTAACAAATACAGATGCTGACAAACTTTCACATTTATAATATTAGATCATCATGATTACTTAAACAATGATTTACCTGATGGTGATTTATTTATTTCTTTGGGAGCTTTTGTTCTGCTCGTATGGCTATTTGGAAATAAATCGAAGTCTGTGAATAAATAAAAAATATATATATATATTTATTTTTCTATAAATGAAATCAAAGTTAATGTCTGTGATAAAGGTTTTAATTTACCTGGTCTGCAACTTTTTTCCTTTAGAAACTGTGGTTTCATACATTTAGGTGTATTATTAATTTTCAGTAAATCTGTAAATGAAGCAATTCATGAAACATTCATATTTTGCTCTAGCGCAAGTTTTTGGCAAATAATGGTGTCGATTCTGGCACGATTCTCTAAATCTAAACTTACATTTGACAACAGTGTATCTTTGATATTCTCTTTACAGAATGAAAAGGAGAGACTGATGCTAAATTTAGATTTAAGTTTAGAGAATCACGCCAGATTCGACACCAATGTAGTACAAACCATGCTTATCAATCTTCTCGGATCTTGTAGGACTACACTTTTTCTCTCTATTTATATACGTAGACGACCGTACTTTTGTCTCTGAAAAATTAACAAGGAAACTTCAAAAAATAAAAATGGTCCTTCGCGCCGGATTCTTGTATAAATAAATAAAAAAAATATATAGTTGAAATATATTGAACACTAACGTCTTAGCGGTACTGCGTTCTTGATCAATGCAAAGTTTTCCACAGGTTTCATTTTAGGAACGGTATTGGAAGATGCCAACCTCCCCGTGGCCCCTTTATCAGCTGTCCAAAACAAAACACCAACAGCGATTATTGTGAAAAGTATGAGCCATTGCGTTGGACACATGTACGATGCGATGTGTGCGAGCCTCCAAAATATTAAGTGGAATAAAATGCTCGTCACAACTTCTAATTTAGAGTTCATTACTGAAATAGAATGTGGACGTGCCATCTTAAGTCTGATTTTAGTTATAATGCGTACCAAAATGGTGTCAATTCTGGCATGATTCTGTACCCTTAGTACGAGTTTGAGCTCACGAAAACTATCATAGTTTTCGTAATTGTAAATTATGTTTCTATGTCCATTTTGGTGAAAACTAACCAAATAAGTATACTCAAAATTTAAGAAGACGCAAATGATTTACTGATAGAATTTAAACACTGTTAATTTGTATTGAAACGAAAACAATAAAATCAGTACCCTTAGTACGAGTGCGAGCTCACGAAAACTATCATAGTTTTCGCAATTGTAAAACTCGTACTAAGGCTAATGACTTAAAACTTCATTTGACATCAGTCTCTAGTTTTCATTCTGTACAGATAATGACAAGGATACACTGTAAAATTTTAATTTAGGTTTAGGAATCATGCCAGAATCGACACAAATGACCTACAGATTCACGCCATTGTGTTTGCAGTATGGCAGGTAGAGTATGAAATGTTTGATAAATATAGGTACCTATCAAGTTTATAAATTAAAGAACCTTAAGGAAAACTGATAATTATTGTTAAACAGATACTCACAAGATCTGGATTTTATCGCATCCATTAATTTCCTTCCTGGTAAGGATGAAACAGAATCCTTGTAATCCGCTAATGAAAAAAAAAACAACATCATATACTTAAGATACAAATAATTTTATTGTAATAAATGAATATCCTAAGTAGGTAAAGGCGATAATGGCTTGCGTTCGACTTCGTTAGAATAGATTACCTATATCTCATTTTCTCCTAATTCTAACTGTAATAGTTACATTAAACCGTTGCTCCCTCCCTACCTCCCTAGCATGAGCACCGCGATATAATACATAACGATTATATCACGCTCTTATACTTATGTTACTCTTTGATCACGCTCAATTGTCAAATTACTATCAGAGTTTGACAGTTAGACGCGATAAGAAACGTGCTATAAGCTGAAGAGGTCAAGAAAATCGTAAAAATCATATTATTATCGACTTTTCGTATTTATCGATAACTGTACAGTCAACATGAAATCGAGTTTCTTCTAGGGTCGTCGTCACACTTTTTGTAACACTAAGTAAGTACGATCCATTGTTACTAAAACAACGTTATAAATGCGCAAATGTGTCCGTCTGTCCGTGATAATATTTGGTATGAATAATTTGAGTCCCGGGAAAAGGCAAAGGGTACCTTTACCTTATAAATCATCCTTATAGGGGATGAAAAGAGGGGTGAAAATTTCCACGAGGACGAAGTCGCGGCCACCCAATAATTAATATTTTCGATAAACTTATGTTCTGTACCCTTAGCACGTACCATTATCGAATTCGAATAGTTGAATTCGACCTATGTTATACGTCAAATGTGTACCGATTTTTAGTTCTGGTTGCGTCCGTTGTGGCACTGCTGTTCAAGTTTCCATACAAAATGTGACCTTGACATTTCGCACTCGCAAACTATTTGAAGTCGATTACCCTTAGCACGAACCAATATCGAATTCGTATCATTTGCGAGTACGAAATGTAATTGTCAAATGTGAACTCATTTTTAGTTCTCGTTACGTACTTTGTGGCGCTGCTGTTCAAGTTTCTATACAAAATTTAACATTGACATTTAGCACTCGCAAACTATTGGAATTCGATAATGGTTGGTGCCTGGGGGTACACTACCACTAGCGAAAAAGTATTCGAATCACCATGTCAAAATTTCTATGGAAACAGCAACGCCACTACCGGACGTAAAAACAAGCTAGCTCTTTCCATAGAAGCTTTGAAGACAGCGATATGAATGTACTGTCATGCAGGCAGACGTACAACAATATTACAAAAATCTGAGAAGAAATAGTTTGGTACAATTTCCATAATATTGAAAAAGGATTTTTTTTTAATTCAACCATATTTTTTTTATAAGAAAAAAATCCACGCGGACCAGGCAGCAGACGGGTCCCGAACCCAGCCACCCACCTTATGCAACCGCAGCCCTGATGGCCGTGTCGATTTGTTTCTAGTATTTCTTAGGCTGCAAGGCAGCGCCAGGTCAGATCAAGTTGTTTGGAAATAAACGTTTTTATATTATTGAAACTTACTTCGAAACAGTCTACATGGTGATTTTCCTCGACTTAGTGTCGATTTCGTGTCTCTCACATTACATAAACCTGCAAAAAAAGTTATGTAAATGATGAATAAGTATAGTTTTTTTGTAATTCATTTTCGATTAGATTAGTCGAAAAATTTATACTTACTGCCGGGCAACTCTTTCAAAACCGTTAGTTTTTTATTTAAAGAAGTTACCAATGGCTTGCCGTAGCCGCTGCCGGGACCTAGAATTAAAAATTACTCTTAAATCACAAAGTCTTAAAATCATAAATTCATGTTATAAAGCTATGTTAATTTTTCTTGATAAGCACCTGCTTAATTATCTCATGTCACACATTTTCAAAATTCGTATTATTGAAAATCTTAATTCTTTAAGAGAGGGATTCTTTATAGCGATTTTTCCATTCGAATTGGAGCGCCCGCATGGGGAAGTAACTTCCACCTTACGCTAAAAGTAAAATAACACTACCTTTTGGTGGTGTTCTGTTAAGGTTCTAGGGCTTTACGGGGTAGTTTAGTGATATTTTTGATATGGCAAGCGAAGCATGATGGGAAGCGAGATATGCGCTACTTTGCGACACTATTAAAATTAAAAAAAATCTTCTTCTTACCTGTACAATGAAGTAAATTAGGTTGTGTTAATGATTTTTTTGTTTTATTCATAGTTTCTTCGCTCGTTGGTTGACGTGAAGCCGTATTGAGCGTTTTTGACCGAGCTAGAATACAAAAACACGGTATATAAATAAAATCACTCTAATATTATATAGGCGAAAGTTTGTGAGTGTGTGTGTATGTATGTTTGCTACTTCTTCACGTCTAAAAGTCTGAAGCGATTATAATAAAATTTGGTATGGTGTTAGCTGACACCTTGGACTTACATATGGGCTACGTTTTACTGCGGGTAAATATACCTAATAAACCGCGGGTAACATAGCGGGGCACAGCTAGTAACCAATAAAGAAGAAAAGAATAAACCGCTGTAATAAAAGCGCCTGTCTGGCGAAGTATCTAACCTCCACAGGTTCACAGAGAAACAACTAACTATGTCTATCTCTTTAGTGATGTTGTGTTTCTGCTGATGGGTAAGATTCACGGGGTCGGGTGTTAGATTCTGAGACCATATTCTGAACTCTTAACACAAAGTTACTTTGCTATAGCAAGGTATCACTTACGCACCCAACAATAGAGCACCGTCCTATTTCAATCGCTGCTTTTGCACCGCGTAAAAAATTCTAATACAAAAAAAAGTGAGAATGGCTGGAATCGAAAAGAAGCAAACTTGTCTGCCATTTCAGCTCTATTCGCGGAATGACTTTACTAACATTTAACATCAGGATTATACAAAAAAAGCTTCGGGCTACCTTAGATAAAATATATAATTGGTCCTTCGATTCACCATTTGTTTCAATTCGTGCAGACACGTTCAGTATAAAAGAAGCTTCGGGCTACCGGGTGATAGCAATTCATTGCCAGTATGGCATGGAAGGAAGACCGACCCACATTATTTTAGCTAAAATATTTATTTGGTCCTTCGAGTCACTTTTTGTTAGAATTCCTACAGACTCGTTGAGTATTAAAAAAAGCTTCGGGCTATCAGTCAATAACAATTCATTCCCAGTTTGGCATAGAAGGGAGACCTACACACATTATTTTAGCTAGAATGTATAGTTGGATGATCGACTGCATTTATTATTAGCGAATAAAAACGGTAACTCACTATCTACGACATATCCAGATGGGTTAGAGTGGACGGGGCGTGCGCTATCTTGAGGCTCCTTGCTACTGTCAGATGTTTCGCTAACAGACCGAGCTGCAAATATATATCACCATTAGTTAAATCAACCCTTGTCTTATATGTTAACTAGCGGCCGCCCGCGACTTAGTACGTGTGGAGTTACTTAGAAATAAAGGTTCACTGCTCGTTCCCCGTAGGTAATAGCGTGATAATATGTAGCCTATATGTTGACCCGACTTCTTAATAATATTCGTGCCAAATTTGAAGTATATCCAGTCCCGGACATACAAACAGACAAAAATTCTAAAAACTATATATTTGGCTTCGGTATCGATTTTAGATCACACCCCAAATATTCTTTTAAAAAAAATATTCAATGTACAGTTTTGACTTTCCTACCATTTTATTATATGTCGTACAGTCGGAAACAGGTAAAGTAATCTAAAACGAATTATGAGTTATCTTTCTTGTTACGAGATCAGAATGAGTGTTTCTTACGCTTGGTAGTATCATGATGTGTTGTTGGCTGTACAGGTAACGATATTTAATACTCTCGATACAACAACACGAACAAAATCGTGGCCGAAACATATGCAAAACGTACATTGGAGGATCCACGGAGCTCCGTGGGATGATCGCGTAGTCAAAAACAATATAAGACATTTTTTAAACATGATTTTAAATGTTTAATGCAAACTATATAAAGTCTTAATTTAAACGCATGCGTCAACCAGTTACGACAGTTCGAAATTCAAGCTCGTAAAATTTTACGACTTGTTTATATATTTTCTATTAAATCAGTTTATAGTAATTAGAACAAAATTTTCTTCAAATGCGTTAAATTAACAAACACTAAATAACCTGTCGAAAAAACGACACTATGTACTGTAAGTATCACGGAGCTCTGCAGCATGTTGACTTTTCAACGGTCCGCGCGTTACTGGTGAACTAAGAACTGCTACTGCAAATCGTAATTGCCTCGGGGCGCCGCAAAGATTCAAATTACCGTACCGATTTCAAAATACGCCCCTGGGTGTGTCAACATAAGACAACGAGGCTCAGAAAGAGTAATTGAGGGTGCATATGAAAAATTACAATAGTGTTTCTATACTGTCGATACTGGCATGATTCTATAAACCTAAACATAAATTTGACAACGGTGTATCCTTGTCATTCGCTATAAAGAATGAAGAGGAGAGACTGATGTTATATTTAGTTTTAAGTTAAGAGAATCATGCCAGAATCGACACCACTGTGTATAGGTACTACAATTTATGAAATATTTATAATGAACATTTTATTTACGTGTGGTAGGGTCTAAAGTTCCTTCGGAGTTCTCCGGACGACCTCGGCTCTTCGATACGTTGCTATTTTGAAGTCCTTAAACAAAAATTTAGAGACGCTGATTTCTCGAACTACTTTCGATCTCGAGACGAGGGAAGGAAGGAATTCTCGAGGCCGAATTCTCAAGTCTCAAGGCTTTGATAGAAGACATAATTTGCTTATATTAAGTAATAAAATTTTAAGAAAAAACTCTAAAAAGTCACGAAAGAAACGTATTTTTTTTCTCGAAGACGACTTACATAACATAGATTTTAACCCAGTTTTCAATTCTGCTGACCCAGAGTTTTGTATGCAATATATAATTGATAATTTACAATCTATCATACAGAAAAATACGAAGACAATTCGAATTAATAGCAAAAACTATAATATTAAACCATGGATCACGCCAGGCCTCATTCGCTGTTTGAGGCACAGAGATAAACTGCATATGAAGGCGAAAAGCAATCCATGTAATGATACACTGCAATTAACTTATAAAAGATATCGTAATTTTTGCAATAATTTACTGAAAAAAGTAAAGTCAAATTATGACGAATCAACTCTCCAATCAGCAGGCACAAACAGTAAACAGATATGGAGACACATTAAAAATATAACATATGCCCCAAAGCAAAATGAGTCCTCTTCAAGTTTATTACACACACACTCGTCACAATTATTGTCAGCTAATAATGTCAACGATTTTTTTGTTAATGTCGGTAAATGTTTAGCCGAAAAAGTCCAAACCACATCACAGTGTCAAACTAGCCCTTTATTTAAGTCTAGTACCACGCAAACGTCTTTTGTGTTGTTTGATACAGATGAATCAGAAGTAGGAAAGATAATAATGAACTTAAAAGAGAATTGCGCTGTTGGGTGGGATAATATCCCTACCAAAATCATTAAAAATTTTAGTTATATATTAACTCCACCTCTCACATACGTTTTCCAGAAATGTCTTTGTACTGGGTATTTCCCCAAATGCTTGAAAAAAGCAATCGTTACTCCAGTTTTTAAATCTGGAAATAAAACTCAAGTAACTAATTATAGACCAATATCCGTACTGACGTCATTATCAAAAATACTAGAAAAAATTATAAATGTTAGATTGGTAAAATACTTAGAATATAAATCGATATTATCGAAAAATCAGTTTGGTTTTAGATCTAAAGTTTCAACGGCGGATGCTGTACATGAACTAACTCACTACATAGCTCAAGAATTAGATAAAGGTAATTACACCATCGGCATTTTCCTTGATCTTGCCAAGGCATTTGATTCTGTATCTGTCCCGTTCCTTCTGCGCAAACTTGAAAACATCGGAATAAGAGGCACGCAGCTCAAACTTTTTACAAGTTATTTAGAAGACCGCTCCCAATGCGTCAAAATAGGTAATATCGTAAGTGCCGATCTAAATTGTACACCCTTTGGAATTCCACAAGGATCAATATTAGGCCCTACTCTGTTTTTAATTTACATAAATGATCTCTGCAACATTAAAATTAGCAACGGTACTATTATATCATACGCTGACGACACAGCTCTCCTTTTTTCAGCCGAGTCAGAAAGTCAGGTACACATGCATGCGCAACGTGGTTTTAATATTGTCAATAATTGGCTTCAACACAATTTACTAACATTAAATGCAGACAAGACAAATTTTATTAAATTTTCGATGCGTAAATCAAAAGCAAACTACTATAATACAGTTTTATATGCCCATCATTGCAGTTCAGAGCCTTTTAATAATAATTGTGAATGTCCTGCCATTAAAATTACAGACAAATTAAAATATCTCGGAATAATTTTAGATGAAACCCTGTCTTACAAACACCACATTACTGCAGTAACTAACAGAATTCGTAAGCTGATAATGATCTTTAAAAAACTGCGCAATATTGCAAACTGTAAAATAATTAAACAGGTATACTATGCTTTATGTCAATCAATACTAAAATATTGTATCACGTCATGGGGTGGAGTGGGTAAGACATTGCTGCTAACTCTTGAGAGAGCCCAAAGAGCAATCCTTAAGGTTTCATCTTCCCTACCTTTCTTTTATCCCACATATGAACTTTATAAAATTCATAAGGTATTAACAGTTCGGCAACTGTTTATAATGAACATCGTACTAAAACAGCACGTAGCTGTACCATACTATGTTGAACTTATTTCTGGTAAAAGACGCAAGGATCTAGTTTGCCCCCAGAAATATGGAAGAACAAAATCAGCTTTTGCATCCAGATTTTTCACTTTCCTAGGACCACTGCTCTACAATAGACTAAATGCAATAAAAAACATATATCCCTTAAATTACAAAAATTGTAAAATAAGCCTACAAGAAGCCTTACTATGCATGTCCTATGAAGATACAGAGAAGTTATTAGTTGTAGTTAAGTAGCATAAGGATATAGTTGTGAGAAGTGTTCGTTTCTCTTGATATTATTATTCTTGAATCTAGTATATTGCATCATTTTAGATTAGGTTTAAGTTAATTATATGTGTAATGTTTTACCAAATTTACTGTAATTTACCATAAATAAATACACATGTTATTTTAATGGAAATTAATCGCCCGTTTCCGCCTGAAACACAGGATTTTCTTAGTTCAGGCGCATGTTTTGTTATACCTAAGCTAAAATTGTACTTTTAAGTTATTATTTTTGTACTAATTGTTAAAATAAAATTTTATTATTATTATTTATTATTATTTTAATTGCCTCCAACTGCACTTACTTAAGAAAAACTTTCAATACATAATAATCAAATATTATTAAGAAAAAATATAATAATATAAATATAATACTCACAAGAATTAAGAACACTAAAAATTTCTAGTAACAAAAAATTTTAAGCATCAAGCTATTGCTCTAATATTTTAATTTGTCACAGGGGATCGACGAGAACGAAATCCATGTTAATGGCAAGATAAGGTACTCTCGACATGTTGCTGCTGTTAAAATGGGCCTAACAAGAGATTCCAATAGTTTACAAAAACATGAAAGTAGGTAATGCAATCGGGCGATAATTTTATTCTTAGTGTTGCTTTGCTGGCCTTTATTATGTAAATTTTGTATCTTGAAGAATCATTCAACTTCAGAGGAGCTCGATGGCGCAAGTGGTTAGCGCGTTTGGCTGCGATCGTTGAAGTTGAGCAACTTTCGCAGTGGTCGGTCATTGGATGGGTGACCTAAAATTTACTATCTCGAGTTCCTCCGTGCTACGGAAGGCACGTTAAGCCGTTGGTCCCGGCTGCATCTGCAGTCGTTAGCACCCGCCAATCCGCACTGGGCCCGCGTGGTGGGTCATAGCCCAATCTCCCTATTCCACCCATAGGGAAGGCCTGTGCCCCAGCAGTGGGGACATTAATTGGCTGATGATGATGATGATTCAACTTCTTTTTCGCTTTTTACACTGTTTCCTTCAATCCATGTTGCTTATAATTATAACTGCACAAATAAACGGTCATATTTTATACGTAGATATTTATGTTTAATGCTTGTATTGCCCGCTTACGTGTTCCCTCCTTCTTGGGATCCTTTAAAAGAGGCATGAAGTAGCAACATGCAGGCCGACAAGGTGAGGATGGCTGGTGTGGCAGGTAGAACTGCTGTACCAGCTATCTTCATTTCTGGACCTCACCGTCACTTAACATCAGGTGGGGTGGAATCATTTGTCGGCCCTATCTATAAAAAACATGATTATCATTGTTTATCGCTTAGATTCGGAGACTGTGATTTGAAACAAAGTTTGTGTTAGACTTTAAACGTTAAAAAACGATAACACATAAACTTTAGATGTTGTACATAATATTAATTATACATTCATAGAAAAATAACAATTTCTAGTATTTTTAAATTAACAACAAAATAGAAGGCAAACTTAACCATATGACAGTTTTTTTTTACTATTGATCTGATGATTATTATCAGTTTAGCATTATACTCACTCGTGGAGACCTGGACGGGGCACGCCTTGATCTCAGCAGCCTTTGGTGTGACGCTCTCGCTGTTTTGCTCTTGACACGAAACAAAAAAAAAAGTCGAACTCAAAGAAGCCATCTCAATAAACCTCCTTATGCGAGGGCAACCATACGTTAGTTCTTCGTCTTTCTTTTTCCTCTCTAATACTCTGATCAACTTCTCTATCTTCCTTCCTCTCTTGGCCCATCTTGCCTCTCTCTGGCAAGAAGGGCACTCTCTGCTTTTACCTGTTCTCTCTCTATCTCTGGTCCACCACCAGCACGTTATAGCTGGTGGTCGATCGAACTGGTGAAGGGCCACTGACCTGCGCGTCGCCCGGCCTAAAGCACGGACCGCCGAAGCGCAGGTCACTCGCCCGCCACCGTTAACACTCAAACCCAGTTTTCTTTTTCTTTTTGTTTATCATTTTACTTCTATTGCGAACTATTATACACTAGCGAAAAACTCAGTTATTAAAATAAAACACAGAGCATAGAAAGATGTTTGCTCTGCTTTTGGTTCATACAATACAGCGTCCGTGGCAGAGTGGTAATTAAAAACTAATTATTACCGAAGACATGCATGTTTAAATGCATTTCTATAATTATTATTTATGTATAATATCCGTTAGCCTAGTTTCCCATAACACAAGCCTTACTACAGTGCTTACTTTGGGGCTAGGCTAATTGGTGTGTGTAAGAAATATTTATTAATTTATTATACAATCATTTTCTGATATGTGACAGGACTGCGTTTTTTGTAATTATCCTTACTATTTGCCTTTTTGTTGTTGATGCAATGTTTAATATTGTGGAGTTACTTTCGCCAATATTTCTTCTCTATCTCTACAGCTAAAAGAAGTCCAGAACTGGTGATAGCAAGAAGGAAGAACTTTAGTACAGTCAATCTGTAGGTTGAGGGTTGAAAAAAAAACCTAAAGGGTAAGTCTTGTTTTTTCTGTTGCCAAATGAAAAAAAATCATGAAAATGAAAATGTTCAATCATGAAAAAAAATAAAAAATAGTAAAACGTCCATTGAAATGTGCACTGCAAATGTGTACGTGAACTGCCCAAAACCGCTCTATTGGATTTTTCATACCTGCGCAATTTATAACTTGAAAACGGTAAGTAATACAAAAAAAATGTTTATACAAAAGTTGTTGGTAATTATGTACGAAACAACTTTGCCATTTAAAGTTTTCCATTAAAATGATATATTCAGGGTGAAAAAGTGAAAAAACACTTTTTTGAGACTTTAGCGCCACCTACAATGCGCATTTTTTGTTGTACGAGATTGCAACAATGACATAAATTGTAGCACTCAACACCCTCTACAATTATGGTCGAAAAAAAAGTTTCTAAAATGCATACAAAACAAGAAAAATGCGTTTCAAAAAATTTTTGACGGTTTTTTTGAGTTTTTCAAAAAACGCCTACGAGTTGAACATGCCCATCGCCAAGGTGGCTTACTGACGTCATTTGGCAACAGAAAAAACAAGACTTACCCTTAAGGTTTTTTTTTCACTGAAACGATATTTTTTTCGACAGATTGACTGTACTACTTGGAACGTATGTAAAAACGTGTTTGGAAAATAGATAGATTGTACATACTAGGGGTGCTAGGAAGCGTACGACCTTTGTTCGGAGATGAGGAGTTACTTCTAGGGCGTCTTACTATCCCGGTTACGGTCATGCCTTTTATTTCTTGCCTTAACCCTGTAATAAGAAACCTTTGCTGCGGTATCATAACGAGCAGTGTTGGTAAAGATACGAATTGGAAAGGAGTGTTTTGGTAATAAGTATTGTATTTCTTCTTAACTGAAGTCATTTACTGTAAAAATGTATTTTTTTTCTATGGTTTAGTTAATATTGATAATTAATCCATCTTCTTATCTTATGGTAGGTGCTTAAAGCCTATATATAACCTCATTAATATTTTTAAGGCATTTTCCACTCAAAGATTGGATCTACTTATAGGCTGACAGTTTAAACGTGTAGCAGTACCTATAGCACGAACCATTATCGAATTCGAATAGTTTGCGAGTGCGAAATGTCAATATCAAATTGTATGGGAACTTGAACAGCAGCGCCACAAAGTACATAACGAGAACTAAAAATCAGTTCACTTTTGACAATGACATTTCATACTCGCAAACTATTCGAATTCAATAATGGTTCGTTGCTAAGGGTACAGTTCTTGATACCAGGGGCGTAAACTGAGCCATTAGTGTTATCTTTTTTTCTCATAGAAAAAGAGAAGATGAATCTTCTTCTTCCTCGTAACCTCATGACTGAGGGTCACGACAGCATGAGGGCACCCGGTGTACCAGCTCCCTCCACGTATTGCGGTTTTCGGCCAACCGGATAGATGTCTGAATGTCAGTTTGGCAGACTTCTTTGACCGCATCAGTCCATCGGGCGGGTGATCTTCCGCGGCTCCTTTTTCCTTCCACATGACCTACGATACGATTTATTTTGAGACCGTAATCAGCACTTATTGTCTCTACTCTTTGCAAAAGCTCAGCAAGTTCACTTTCGTTGGCTCCAATTATGGTAGTATCATCTGCAAAGCGTAGGTTATTAATATGGTGTCCGCCAATTTTTATACCAGCATCCCACCCCTCCAGCACTCTTCGCATAATGTGTTCGCCGACGAGATTAAAAAGTTGTGGCGAAAGGATGCAACCCTGTCTTACTCCGCGGTTAGTCCGGAAACAAGTCGATTCCGAATCCTCTATACGTACTTTGGACCTTCCGTCAAGGTACAGTTTCTGAATTAGATAGGTCAAATGTTCCGGAACACCCATCTCGCTCATTACGCTAAACATTTTGTTCCAGCTGATACAGTCAAAGGCTTTCGCGTAATCAATGAAACACAGAGCCATTGGAACATTGAACTCCCGGCACTTCTCTATCATGCGTCTCATGTTTAAAATTTGCTCCCGTGCTCCCCTGCCTTTAACAAACCCTGCCTGTTCCTTTGAGATTTGTCCGCCAATGTAGTTTTCTAGACGTTTATTGATGATGTGCAGGAGCACCTTGCTTGCATGGGATGTAATCGAGATAGTGTGGTAGTTATCACATCTGCGCGTCGACCCTTTCTTGTGCAGCGGGACCACCACCGACTCCGTCCAGTCCTCAGGCCACACTCCAGATTTCCAGACTTTTTGGCAGATGGAATGCATGAGCCGAGTTCCCTCTGTGCCCATTGACTTGAGCATCTGCGCGGACAAACCATCGCCACCGCATGCTTTTGGCTTAAGACGCGCGAGTGCAGCTTCTACTTCATGAAGAAGGATGTCAGGTTCTTCCTCGTTGTATTGCACTAGTAGGTCGGCATCGTCATTGCTCTCTTTATATAGCTGTTGACAGTACTGTCGCCATCTCTCAAGCACAAGATCTTTATCAATCAGAGGGGAGCCCTTTTCGTCCTCAATCGTCCAGTTCTTCGGTTTGAAGTCCCTAGCCAGAAGTTTCACCTTTACAAACAGGTCCTTAGTGTGTGCACGACTCGCAGATTGTTCCATCTCCTGACATACGGCGTCAATTGAGGCTTTTTTATCTCGTCTGCATAGTCTTTGCACTGTGCTATGGAGTTCACGATATCGTGCCCTCGCAGCTTCGGAACTCAAACCGTTTCCTTTCACGCATCTCATTTCTTCTATAGCAGACCATGCTTCAGCGCTCATCCACTCAGCCCTTGGCTTCAAGGAGTTAGGGCTTGTTGCGATTACCTCTTTAGCCGTCTCTAAAATTACTGATTTCAGCTTTATCCATGAAGCGTTTGGTGATTCGGAGGGAAGTGTGTCTAGGACTTCTAAACGAGATTCAACTCGTTTTCCGTACTCGCCTTGCAGTTCTGCGGAAAGGTTCAACGTCTTTTTGGGTACGTTGCGCTTTGGTGTCCTTAGTCGGATTTTTAAGGATGCTGTTAGCAACTGATGGTCACTGCCACAGTCGGCACCAGATCTTATTTTGGTGGAAAGAATAGAGGAATTCCATCTTCTACTTATTATGATGTAATCGATTTGGTTTCTGTGCTTTCCGTCAGGGGATACCCATGTATAAAGTCTACGCGGATGCTGTTTGAACCAAGTATTCATTATGCTTAAATTATTTTCGGCACAGAAGTCTAGAAGCATTTGTCCCCGATCATTACGCTCCCCAAGCCCATACTTCCCCACAATTCCTTTTAGATGGTCATCTGATGACGTTTTTCCAACCTTGGCATTTAAGTCCCCCAATACGATAGTAATTTCTTTAGATGGGATTCCGTGGTAGACTTCGTTAAGTTGATCGTAAAAATTGGTTATCTCTTCTTCAGACGAACTCGACGTGGGAGCATAGACCTGAATGAGGTTTATAGGATGTGGCCAAGCCGCTAGTTTCAGCCGCACTATTCTGTCACTTATTGTGTCGTATCCTTGGATCGTAGCAGCTAATCGTGCAGACACCAGGAAACCAACTCCACTGAAGCTGTTACTGCATAACCCCGAGTTGATGACGGTGACCCCTGTATTTGAGTAATAGTGACCACTTTCTTTTAGGTGCGTTTCGCTTAGACCTAATACTTCTAGCCCACATCGGACCATCTCCCTCTCCACTGTTTCCATTTTACCCGCCTTGTTTAGGCCCCGCACGTTCCATGTGCCTGTCATGAGAGTTTCATGTTTTTTAATGGTTTGCTCGTTAATTTCCGCAACAGTAGTCCAGTTTCAGAAGATGAATAAAGGAAGCAAAATATGCCTGCTCCTCGAATACTGAAACACATGCTACATATTAGCTGATTATGCGGTTTCTCTTATGCAAGGTTGTAAACACTGTCTGTTCTTTAGGGTTCCTTACCCAAAGGGTAAAAACGGGAACCTATTACTAAGACTCCGCTGTCCGTCAGTTTGTCATCAGGCTGTATCTCATGAACCGTGATAGCTAGCCAGTTGAAATATTCACAGATGAATGGTGATGTTTTCTGTTGACTTTATAACAACAAATACTAACAATAGAATTAAATAAATATAAAAGGCGGACTCCCAAACAACAGACTAGGTTTTTTGCCTTCTTCGGTACGGAACGGAACCATTGACGACCTCCGTGGCCAAGTGGTTTGAACGCCGGGTTCCATGGTGTCGAGGACTCGAGAGGTCCCGGGTTCGAATCCCGGTGGGGGCAGATGTTTGTGTGATGAATACGAGCATTTGTATGTTTAATATGTATTTTTTCTATATAAATATACTTATATATGTACAGTATATGTATTTTATCCGTTACTCTAGTATCCCATAACACAAGCCTTTTAGTGCTTACCTTGGGGCTAGGCTAATTGGTGTGAGTGTTGGAAATATTTATTTTATTTATTCGTGCGCGAATTCAACTCGCACTTTTCCGGTTTTTTATCTAAAGCTAACACTTCAATTGCTTATTCGTTTTTCCTCTTTGTACATTTGACAGCTCTTTTGTACCTCTTTTCATTCTTTATATGGAATGGAATTCTCAGAACAAGAACTAAAGCATAGGAGTAATGCTATGACGTTTGAGCGTACACTTCCGCTTATACTATACGTATACGGTTTTCCAATAAGAAAAAGCTAGTGTGCTTATAACCACACGACTGAAGTGTAACTTCTTTAGCTCCATTTGTATGTGTATATATATATATATATTTTGCGGGTATTGTTCATTGTTTACCGATGAGTCACCGGAGACACTTTTCGTAACGCGTAACTCGTAAATCATTCGCCAAATTACCCCCCAAGTCAAGCGTACCTAAAGAAAATTCACATCAATGTTTACCGATGAGTCACCGGTGACACTTTTCGTAACGCATAACTCGTAACGCATTCGCCAGTTTACCCCCCAAGTCAAGCAGGCCTAAAGAAGTTTCACTTCAAAAATATTCGATCGTTTACAATAACATTAAATTGCAGGATGCGCAACGGCCGCTAAAGACCTGTCGCCTATGCATCACTCACGCTTATTATAGTGCGGCGGACACAAGTATACGAGTCAGAAAACCGGTGGAAAGATTTGGTAACCCCGTGTTTTACTGGTGAGGGGCGGGACGATTTATTATGTCCACCATATGCAGTCAAAGATACCTTGTCACTATTAGAAAACCCTGTATTACCCGACCAAAAAGTGTTAATGGCGTTTGGCAGGTTGCATTTGATATTAGATAGCTTTTTGATTCGGTATCGTATCTCATTCGGTAACCAGGGTATTCAAAAGACGGACATAGCACGCACGCTGTTCATAGCAACATATATTTGTCTCTTTGCCGGTCTATATGTAAAAATAAGACAACTATATGAGTCGACTTAAGTGTTGAATTTAAACTCTTTCTATACTTTAGTTCTTGTTCAGAGATGGATTTAGAAGGAACGATGAGACTGCTACCAAATTGACTGAAAGCAAATAAAAATAGCCATGTGGAGTTCTAGCATAAATAATGTATCAAATATAGGGTACTCCGATAGCGACTTACTGGAAGCGTTGCTCTCCCTGTATTTGGCTCTGGGAGGGGAGGAGGACGAAGAAGACACACAACCGGGGGAGACCTTTCTGCTCTCCAAACTTCCGCGCCCAAACTTATCTGCAACGCCGAATTTTATCTAAATACCTATATTTTTACACTTACCTATTATACCTACCTATATATTGCTTTGCTACGGGTTGGTACAGCATTATACATACCTATAATATGTTTAGTTTCCCTGTTTGCTGTTTGCTCTGGCAGTTAGCAGAGCATCACAGAGTCCGATAGCAAAATACCTAAGTCATAGTCGGTATGTGAAATCCAAAGAATAAAAAGAGTCAAAATGACCCTGTCTTACTGGAAGACAATATTTTGGTTTTATTTTATTTTTATTTTGTCTAACCTGTTTAAATTAATCTGTTCACTCTAGTGTAACTGTAAATGGCATTCCCTTGAGAAAACTTTTACTAGAAAAAAATCTAATCGGTCAAGAAATGGATAATCACATGCCAGATTGAGGCAAAATAGATGAACTGTGTTATATTATATTTAAGAACTTATTGTACTCTATTTTTGGTGATTAAATAAAATTCAATTCAATTCAAGGTTTCAGGCACGACTCGACTCGAACTTGTGTCGTCGTACGTCGAGCAGATTAAACTGCTAGATTTATAAATGAATTGATTTAAAAAATATAATAAACTACCCTTTGAATATAACAACTTTACATCGCTGATCGCGTGCCGCGTGCGCCTGCAGTGGGTGCCGCAAACACCCGCACGCTCTGCGGGTATGCTATGTAAGTAGTTAGTTAAAGAACAAAGGTTTTTAATTTAAAAGACATACTGCCAACTCATAACATCATTTATTTTTACACTAATTAAACATCATTAATCACAACTATAGCCTTGTCGAAATCAATTAAAGTTAAAAATAAATTACCACTAAATATAACAAATTATCATAACATAATCCTTATGACACAGTCTGTCAATATAATCATGAAAAAAAAGGTCGCTACGTCGCTTACATGGCATTCCCGTTTTTTTTTTTTTTTTTTTTATTTATTTATTTGAAAATCAACGGCGTTTACAAAAGTATTTGAGTATAGTATAAACCAACAGTAAGGCTATTTACAGATTTTCCATAAATTAATTTATAGTATACTGTGTTTACGGTCAGAAACATTCAACTGCCTTAAGCTAGGTGAAATCCATACTGATGGAAACAATACTGAAAGCAATTCTATTTCAGCTTCTATAACTCAACAAAATGTCTTCCAAACGATATGGGTATCTATGAAAACAAATGTTTACAGTTAATTGGCCACGAAATGCTAACCATTTTAGTATTTTATATCCCGCCCTGCATAACTGCACACAACCACCTAAAGTGTTTTCAAGAAGTTATACATCGGCTGAAACGCTTTGATATTTGTTAAAAGAACTATTGTATAATTATATAACTTCCATACATTTTATTATTATCAGATTTTATTATTATCTGAACCTGCCTGATACTTTGCTCCAAGTAAAAAAATCTAAGGAGATTAATGCTTAATTATAATAAAATTATCAAAATTTGTCATGCTTGACTTTTGAGGGCCAGACTAGTAGACATTCAAGCCACTTATGACCGGCCTTTTTAGGACACTTACTAAAGGTGGGTTAAAAAAAGAAAGATAGTATTATAGTAAATATATTATAATTATTATTATTCAGAGCCCAAATAATCTAATTAAAATGAATATTCCCGAGTCGTCAAGTTGCTGCCTGCTTCATAGGATTCACAGGAACTGGAACCATCGTTATCTGCACAGTTCCACCACAGACAAGTCTCGTTTTCAGATTTTCCATTCTTGTGGAATTATCGCCTGATATGCTTCTTCAGCCAAGTAATACTCGCGTTTTATAGCAATGGTTGAAAATCTGCAGTTAATAGCCGCCATCAAAATTTATATATTCTCTCACCACTGCTAATAGTTTTCCCGTATAACAAATCAATTTTTGACGAATAAATGGCACTTAATATATACCCACTTGTGTTTTCTAATATTTCGTTCACTATGCTTCGAATTGTACTTTTGGAAACATCTGAAGTGTCTTTGCTTCAGATGATAAAATCCATGTTCACATTTAAATAATATTACAAAAGTATCAAATCTGTAGGGCGTAGTATAAGTTGTTGGTGAATTTAAAAGTAAACATTGCATCATCAAATCAGATGTAATTCTGGATGAAAACAGAAATGATTGTCACGGGAGTAGAAGTATAAATAGTCCGATTAATTTTATATCTCGTAACGATCAAATTAAAATATAACATGATTTACACTTTTAAAATAATATGACAATAAACATAACCTTAAAGTGACAACTGAGCTACACTTTTTTACAGTAATTTCGTGTTGCCAGCAAAACCATTCGTTCCTGAAACATTCTTTTCATGACTTTATTGACAGACTGTTTATTCTTTAAAAACTATCCAGTCAGACATAGGACACAATTCAATGTGATAAAACGTTGGAGGGTTTCGCATTTAAGCCATGAATATATAAGAGACAAATAAAGCATTAATTTGCTTGTAGACCAATTTTTCAACTCGTATTTCACTAAAAGAAAGATGGAAATCTCTGATAGATTGCCATTTAAATAAATAGTATAATAAAATTACAATAAAACTTTTTTTTCATGATCACTGATCAGTAAGCGAATTTGCCAGTTAAAATAAATTTTAACTACATGTAGTAAAGGCTAAATTAAAAATGGCAAAACAATAAGTATAGCTCGATCCCCATAGTAGAAAATACTCTACAAAGGAGACCTTCGATATTTGCCCAATTTTGTACTTTGGTACAAATTATCTCAAAGAACATATAAAATTATACTTAAAAAGACTCACTCATCAAAATCTCAACTATAATAAATCTGAATTAAATAGGTAATCTGCGTATGAAAAAACGTTAATACTTAGACGCAATTTGTCATTCACTGACATCGACAGCTACTACTATTAGTTTAAATTCATTTCCTTGATACTGATTGGTTGTATCAATTATCACGTGATTTCGTAGCTAATTGTTAAAGATGCACATTTACCATAATATATTATCTGTGTTGCCATTAATTTAAGTGTTTGAACGCCATTTTTATGTGATACAAGTGAGATAATAAACTCGATTAATATTTTTGATGAATTTGGCGTATTTTTCTATACTAAATGCATGATAATACTTGAGGTACAAAATTGGGCAGAGTTGTATTTAGAAAAGAATGGATCCTTTAGTGAATTAAATAAAAGCAAATATGCAATAATGTAGTATACATAAATTATGTATTTATTATCATATTTCTAAAGAAACATATTCAGAGCGACCCGGTGGCTAATTTACAATTTTATTGTGATGACCTATTGAAACAAATCAAAAGTCACTATTTTATGTGAAAACACTAAATGGACTTTAAACATTTGTTTAAACAGCTCCACCAACTATTATCACAGAACATGTTTTACAATGAGCACTATCTACAAACGATATAACATATAAATTCTATATAATAAGATGTAACATTTAAATACAATAACTTTCTGTAACATGAGAAGACTTAAATGCATTACTTTCTGTTGTTCTTGAAATGTAACTATTATAGAGTGATAATCATAGAACACAGAAAGAGGTTAGAAGCGTTATCTTAAACCGTTTGTACGGGAACCGATGTCGCCGGGTCGCCCCCTCTACCATAGCACCTAATAGATAATAGCGAATCGAACGACGTGTCATCAAACAACCGAACCAATTAGCGCACACACTCGAGAGCAACGACGCAATCAGAACCAAGTTTAGGTAAAGTTATGAGCATTGGCTCACACAACTGCGGCGCACCTGTCCCGCCCACAAGGACCTTCTAACCTCTTTCCGTGTTCTGTGGTGACAATAATTTCGTTTGCATGTGATACAGATGAAATCAAAATGAGAAATTATGCGCAGATGCCAGTAACAAAGTTATTCGCAATAAGGTTGTCATCTGACAAAGAAGTTGCCGACTTAAATTTTTGCATAACACTGCTGATCTGTCTTTTTCTGTCAGAGTAATAAACCAATATTGTTAACCGTCAGGTTAAGTATTCGAAATCTCATTCTTCCAGAGGAAAAGATGAACTGTAAAAAATAACACAAAAAATAAACTAAAGTTAACTAGCACTACCATCTACAATCATATCTATTTCTATATTATGTGTGGATTTCGAGCCAATTTCGGAGTTATTTTCATTACTATTTGCGTATTCCAAGTTCTGTGTTATTTTCTCTGTTTGTACAGATTCATTTGTTGTAAGTAAAACCTCTTGAGGAATAGATTGCTGTTCGTATTTTGTTTCCGCGTGTTTTACTCTTTTGTGTCGTTGTTGTGTAATGTTATCTGTAACTAATTCAGAATCTGTGTCTACTTTAGAATTAGTGTCGAGTTTAGAGTCTGTGTCGTATTTAGAGTCTGTTTCTAGTTTAGAGTCCGTGGAATATGATCGCACAGTACCGGCTGAAAGGTGTGGTGATGAAGCTCTGCGTTCCTTCCTCCTGGCGCGGTGGGCCGCTTTCAGTTCCATTTCAACGCAATGTTCGGCGAACATTAGTTGTAGTGGCGCGTACATGTGGGGTAGGAGCTCTAAGTCGCCCATTGTGATCTGTGGAAGGATGTGTAATGTGACTAATTCTTATGGGAAAGTTGGTATTCTTTATTATGTGGTATTGATATTATTACTTTTTATTTAAGGTTGTGTATTTGACGACCTCCGTGGCCGAGTGGTTTGTACGCCGGGTTTCATGGTGATGCCGACTCGAGAGGTCCTGGGTTCGAATCCCGGTGGGGGCAGGTGTTTGTGTGATGAATACGAGCGTTTGCACTCCAGTCATGGATGTTTGATATGTATCTCTTTATAAATATACTTATATACGTACAGTATATGTATTCTATCCGTTACCCAAGTATCCCATAACACAAGCCTTACAGTGCTTACTTTGGGGCTAGGCTAATTGGTGTGAGTGTTGGAAATATTTATTTAATTATTTATTTATAATAACAGCGGTCAATTCATCAATAGCTATGAATTCAAACGAGACTTTAAAAAAGATGCTATTTTTATGTCGTAATATAATAATTAAAGCCGCACATAAACGCCGCGCCGTAATAGTGATCCCTGAACAACTGGACTGAGTTGTATTTAATTTCAGGCTAAAATCTGATTCCGTCAAAATGGAGATGTCTGGTATACACTATAGACCGAGACAGCCGCGACTGACCTACAGGTTAGACGCGTGTCGCTCTCTGGCTGAAGTGAGTGAGTAGCGTGTAGCGAGCGCTCGAGTGTAAGACAGAGACGGGCGCGGGGTCACTGACCTGCATGTTGTCGAAGGCGATGCCGACGCTGCGGTTATCGTTCAGTATGTGCGGACTGAGGTGCGGCAGTCGCACGCACCGCTGGCTGAAGTGGGTGAGCAGCGTGTAGCGAGCGCTCGTGTGTAGGACAGAGACGGGCGCGGGGTCACTGACCTTCATGTTGTCGACGGCGATGCTGACGCTGCGGTTGTCGTTCAGTATGAGAGGACTGAGGCGCGGCAGACGCACGCACCGCTGGTTGAAGTGGGTGAGCAGCGTGTAGCGAGCGATAGTGTGTAGGACAGAGACGGGCGCGGGGTCACTGACCTTCATGTTGTCGACGGCGATGCTGACGCTGCGGTTGCCGTTCAGTATGAGCGGACTGAGGCGCGGCAGACGCACGCACCGCTGGCTGAAGTGGGTGAGCAGCGTGTAGCGAGCGCTCGTGTGTAGGACAGAGACGGGCGCGGGGTCACTGACATTCATGTTGTCGACATGTGCGGACTGAAGCGCGGCAGACGCGCGTACCGCTGGCTGAAGTTGGTGAGTAGCGTGTAGCGAGCGCTCGTATGTAGGACAGAGACGGGCGCGGAGTCACTGACCTACATGTTGTCGAAGGCGATGCCGACGCTGCGGTTGTCGTTCAGTATGTGCGGACTGCGGCGCGGCAGTCGCGCGTACCGCTGGCTGAAGTGGGTGTGCAGTGTATAGCGAGCGCTCGTGTGTAGGACAGAGACAGGCGCGGGGTCACTGACCTGCATGTTGTCGAAGGCGATGCCGACGCTGCGGTTGTCGTTCAGTATGTGCGGACTGAGACGCGGCAGACGCGCGTACCGCTGGCTGAAGTGAGTGAGCAGCGTGTAGCGAGCGTTCATTTGTTTGCCGATGTCTATCGCTTGGCTTGTGGTGGAGTGCATTTTGGTGCGAGCCTCGTCTGCTAACTCGTCTTCCATGGTCGCTTCATGGATAAGTAGCGTCGAGTCTTGACCTGTCACCATTGAGAAAAATTGGCAATTAACAACTACTTTAGCTAGGAGCTCGTTAAGGTCTGCGATCGAGGACGTTATCAGCAAGCGCACATTGAGCTACTAATCGCGGCAACTAAACGCGACCACTAGTAGCTTAGTGGCGGCCACTCTATTTCTCTTGATCCGATTGTTTAGTAGCTTGACTGAGCCACTAGTGGTCGCATTTGTGCGCTTGCTCGTAACAACTTTTGAATTAGCCGGTCATGGGTGACATGGATGGATGACCATAAAACTTATTATCTCGAGCTCCTCTATGCTTTTGGAAGGCACCGTAATCGTGGTGGTAGTCGTTTTGGGTCTTGGCCCATTCTCCCTATTACACCCACAGGGAAGGCCTGTGGGGATATTAATAGGCTGATGATAAAGGGCTCATTTCTGGATAATTCTACATCAAAAAGGGCAGTATTACAAAATATAAGGGAAGAAACGTTAATAAGCTGATTTTTTTCTTAGACAGTAAGTTATCAATATCCAGTGTCCTAATCAAATGAAGATAGACGAGGTCACTAACCTATCTTAACGAGCTCTTCACAGGGTATAGTATCACCGGAGTATGTGATCTTGTGGTGTTGGTCCACTTGCAGGGCCACACCGAACGCGTTGGGACAGTGTGACACCAGGCACGTGCGGATCTGATGCACGCCGATGCTAGCTAGAACCGCTGACGTCATTTCACTCGATCCATCTTCGAGCTAGACGGAAAATACAAGGGTATGGATTTATACAAAACATGCTGCGAATGTACTCACAATTTTGACTTTCCATATATATATCGTGATCGTCTTCGTCGTTCAGTATAAGTATTCTAATTTACATAGCTTTTTTTTATTCTGCAAGGATAATGATCTTTAGCCTAAGGCTAGAGAAAATTCGACACGGCCGTCAGGGCCGCGGTAGCATAATGGTCAGTGCATTCGCCCGAATAGCGAAGGGTGCGGGTTCGAGTCCCATCTGCTGGCTGGTCCGCGTGGATTTTTTTCTAGTTAACTTATCTTTAGATTAAAACATCTAGCAGTTAAATGCTTAAAAAATAAAAACATAACTAATGATTTCTAGGCAAGCTCCTGATTCTGGTTCTTACAATTAATATTTTATAATTTGTCTATACAGCATGATAAGGATAATCAGATCAGACACAATATCCATCATATTACCAATAAAATTAATAATAATATAAATCAAGTCTCATATTAACAAAAAATCTTTCTAGAATGAAGAAGATACATCCATTGTCTTCAGAATCTGTTGTAATATTTTGATTTTTTTTTTAACATGTTGACCAAGAATCTGTCATCAACATAGAGCTATTATAACTCCTTTAATAGTAATTGGAGGTTATAATTAATGCACAATGACTCACCAAAGTCTGGTTCGGTACTAGTGTAAAATCCCCTCTTATCCTCTCAAACTGTTGGTCATAAATCGAGAGCCAAGTGTAAATCTGCCCAGGTGCTAACAGATAGAGGGGCTCCGGGGGCTTTTCAGAATGCACTTCGGCGAAGGCCTGCCGTCTCGCTTGTAATACACCAATCAAACCTGGATGTAAAACATGATCTTATTATAATAATAAGTCTAGTGAATACAGCCACACGTCTAGTTAGGACAACACTGTAAATTTTCCAATTGATTGTGAATCTTATATTAAGCGACTTAAAGTCTAGTGAATACAGCCACACGTCTAGTTAGGACAACACTGTAAATTTTCCAATTGATTGTGAATCTTATATTAAGCGACTTAAAGCATAAAGTAAAATGGATGAATTTGTTTTGGGTTAACTGACCTGCGGCTGTCATTACAAAAAGCATCGCTACATAAAAATAAACTGCGGCCTTTTCTTTACTTCTTATAAAATGAATAAACAAAAAAATATTTTTTCTCTAAGGCGCAACATTACATGACTGAGTCTGGTGTTCAGTTACGAAGATAGCTAATGCTGCAAAAATAGAGATAAAAACTTCTGACCATACAATTCCAGTACTTATTTTTCAGTTCATAAGATTCAAAATGCTTACCGAGATGATGATCTGCGTGTAAATGAGACACGTAAACTGCTCGCAGCGTTCTAAGGAAAGCGCTCGCACGCTTGGGACCGTAAAATCGAACTATCTGGCCAAATGTACCTTCGGCACAATCCAATAATACGGAGCGATTGTCACTAAACAAAAGAAATAAAATTCATGAGATCATGACACATTTCTGTAGCGGCAAAAAATAAATCTGACATATTACCAAGTTATCAAAAAGTTGCGAATGGATTCTATCATGACATCTTTATACTTACTCAATGTGAACCACAATAGCGCTAGTATTCCTAGTCTTGCTCGGTATACAAGAGCCTGTGCCCAAGAACACCACCTTGGGGTACTCCTTGCTGTCAGTTTTGGCGTAACGCATGCCTTCCACCTGCCGCCTGAAGTGTTCTAAGCTACTGGCGAACCCGTCTACGTCCATCGTCTCTTGAATGTAATCTTGAATATGAAGCTTTGGCTCCAAAGACCTGAATATAAAAGCGTTGTTTGAGACAATTGCTAAGATTATAATTTTTGCAGTAAATAAATTGTTTAAATTGCTGACTTTTCACACTTATCAAGAATGTCTGTTTTAAAAACTGATTTTTATAATTTAATAATGCTTTATTTAAAAGACCAAATTAGTTTAATCTTTCGGCTAAACCTACTGATTTATTTATCAAGGTCCTGTTTATAGGACCTGAACTTTATCCCAAGCCAGGGGCCCAATTCTCGCGGCATAGATATTATATCACCTTCGATATATATCGAATGATCTGGCTTTTTTCGAAGGAAAACCTTTTTGCCCTATTCTCACCATGTCGCAATAGATATTTATCTACGGATGATCAGTAGACATACATCGACTGGTAAAGAGCCTTCGATATATAAATATCTATGGATCTTGGCATGTCAATCTTGTTATTTCCACTTTTTTTACCTATTATTTATTGTGTTGTCGTGTGTCTTTGCCAGTTATTGTTACCTCAAGATGTTGTTAACTGCCTTCATAAATAATTAGTAAATAAAGAAGTAGGTAAACAATGGTGTCGATTCTGGCGTGATTCTCTAAACTTAAAACTAAATTTATTATCAGTCTCTCTTTTTCATTCTGTATAGAGAATGACAAGGAAACACTGTTGTCAAGTTTAAGTTTAGATTTAGAGAATCGTGCCAGAATCGACACCAGTTTATATTAACGATGGATGAGTTGATTCATGTTTTCGTCAATGATTTAATAAATTACATGATTGCTGCTGCTGTGCTAAGGCGCCGCCGTTGTGCGAGCAAGAGGGCCCATTTGAAATGAGGGACGTGGACTTCATAAAAAAATTACGTTTAAACAAAAATTTCGTTAGAAATCTTTAAAGTTATGAATGACATTGGTATCGATTCTGACACGATTCTCTAAACTTAAAACTAAATTTAACATCAGTCTCTCCTTTTCATTCTGTATGGAGAATGACAAGGATACACTGTTGTCAAATTTACGTTTAGGTTTAGAGAATCATGCCAGAATCGACACCATTTTCTTATTGACGATACGGAGTTTTGGTGGGATTTCTGCGAGTGCGGTTGGCATCTTATTTTAATTATTCTAAAATTCGTTCATAGTGGATATTGTGAAATAAAATTGGTGTGATTTGGTGTTACAACCGTCTGCGCAACTAAAGAATTAGTGGAATCTTTAAAATATACGCTATTCCGGTCAAGTGGACGCGAGAACTTTATTGTAGTGTTGACTACCTCACAGAAGCTTAGAGAAAAAGCTGACTCCATAAATTTCGTGCCAAACACTCCAAGAAACATTAGAATGCGTCACACCGACATTCGAATGTAATAAAAAGAAGATTAATATAACTAAAGACTAGGCTTTATGGGCATTGTTCCCTTTGCCTTCCCTGAAAAGGGAGAATTTTAAATAATATTGACGTTTCATTATACATAACGTTGAAATTATATACGCATACAATTTAGGTAAAGTTGAGATTTCTTATACTCAAAAAATGTATACACATATTTAATATGAATGGAATTCATAAAATATCATTTTGTTGCTTGTAAAATTCTGCTCTAATTTATTATTATTTTATATAGACTATGATGTTAACTTAATCGAGAAAAACGGAACGCATTCGGCAGTGAAAGAATATCTACGATAGATATAATATCATTGGAATAACGAAAATCCACGAGAATAGCATTTTTTACCATTAGTAGATATTTTCAATAGATATCCCTACTTTCGATATTATCTCGAAGCCGATATAATATCTACGCCGCGAGAATTGGGCCCCTGGTAGAAATTATTTTAAAAATATGGCGATATATTCTCCCGGACACATCTATTGGGCCCCTTAGTGTTATAAATTTTGTTTATGGCGTTGAGCAATAATTTTTAAAACACACGAAAAGATGGTTAACAGATCAGCTTCAAAACTGCGTGGGTAACAACTTTTTTCTCAATGTAACATTTATTTTAAGCTAGGGACTGTCAATAATTAAAATGCTATGTGGGCCGATATAGGTGTCCGGAAGTGTATAAAATATGAAAGATTTAAAGCAACGTAAACTTTTTATATCAGTAAAAAAAACAAGTAAAAATCTCGATAAATGTCGCTACAGGTAGAGTGCTTAACTGAGCCCTCGCGCACCTCTCACGGTCCCCGTTCTCGTCCTCCCTCAAACCCTGTACCCCGCAGGCGATGTCACAGTTATGCGGTTTACCTATATACTCCATATATCAAATTGCCTCACCTGTCCAATTGTTTCTTAGGCCTCAACTGGAAGGTAGTGAGGGTCCTCCCAGCTAGAAGTTCGAGTTTGCTCTGTTCCTCGTCGATTCCCTCGTTAACCCGCTGCCCGCCGTCGCCCTTGCACGACCCCTCCATGTTTATAATATTCTGGAACTGCGCGAGCGCGATCTACAATCGAGGTTCGCTTTTGGAACACCCACCACCATTGTGACTACTAAATGTGATTATGATAACTGTGATTTCTAATGCCAAAGCCGATAACTTTCTTGTCAAAGTAAAACGGACGATTTCGGAAATTAATAATCCATCTTCAAGTTGGAAGCTGTCACATTGAAATACACAAAACCAGCTTCAAAAGAACTACGAAATTGTGGAAACACCAGTAGGAAAAAAAGAATCTGACATTATTTCAATTACTGTTCCTGGACAAAATGTTATAGGTTCAAAAAATATATATTTTAAGATTTATGCTAGACTCAACGAATTATAAATGATATGGAAGCATTACTCTCTAAAATCGGCCGCTAAAACATAGTTCCAAATTCATTCAATATTAACACGCAAACGGAAAAAAACAAATAATATGACAAATTAAATATCTGTAAAAGAAATTCGGCTAGAACTTTATTGGATAAGTTAATGTTAAACGGAAATCCCAACCAATCCCATGACAGGCGAGTTGATCGCACTTTTTTCGCCCCGCCCACTTGACCACTGACAGTTGTATTCCAAATCATTTTCAATTCGTTGACTAAGATTACACTTATAAATCTCATGTACAGCTCAGTTTTGATGCTCTGCCAACAACACTAAAAGGGACCTAGCATGATTTTATCTAAATATGTTATTATGATTTAGATACCTACTGATGATCATGAATGAGACGATGACAAACTAGTGCATGCAAAATGTGGAACAAACAAAATTTTAAGAAAGGTACCAAAGTAAAATAATAATAGATAATAGACGGAATGGAAGAAATAGGATGGGACACAGAAGATACAGGTACAAACCACCTTGTGACGTTCTCCCCAAGGAAGCATTAATAAAATTTTGTTTCCTTTAAAATTCAAACGTGGATTTGGGAAGCTCTCATACGCTATATTCAGTAGGGGCTAGTTAGCTAAGCGAGCGCGTTACGCGACAATAGAGCCTTTTAAGTGCGTTTAGGACGTCTTTTAAACATTTTCATAAAGGAAATCTTATTTTAATAACACAAAACTTTATTTTCAATGCCGTCAGCATCATCGTGGCGCCCTGTCCTTGGCATTGGACGTTACATGTAGCTCAATTACTCAAAAACTTTCACAGGAATTTAGATGAATTTTATAACACATTGTTGTATTAAAGCTTGGTATATTTTTTTTTAATTCCGTAATTACTAATCTGTAATTCCTCTTTTCTACAGCAATTTTAAATTCTGAAGTTCATGCAAATCACAGGAGCTACGAGTAAGTGCGTGTATCTGACAAAAATAATCAAATGGGAGAGGTTAGTATAATCTATGTATGTGCATACAATTCGACAAGGATCTTTATGAATGTGGCAAAAATTGGAACTAACGCCGCCGTCTCTATAAACGTCATATTTATATTTCATTTACGTACACAGTGGCGCCATCCCTTAACTGTCACTCACATTCATAAAGATTCCTTGTCGCACTGCACAAAAGCTTACCTTGTTCTTCAATTCTTCCAACCCCTTGATCCTGACGGGGCTATTCGTCTTCGGCACCGGTGGATGCGTGTTCCATACCGCGGGTACGCTTGCGTCCCTCAACAGCGGGAATATGTCCGGATCCAAGAGGTGCAACTTGTGCTGCGTCCTATGAACTGCTTCCGAGCCAAGACAAGAGTTCTGGACGTTGAGGATCAAGTGGCGGGTCGTGGCGCCGAACATTGACATGAACGATCGGTACCTATCGATAAAGAAGGAATACAACATATTAAAATCTAAAGAAAATTTTATCAAAAAAAATCCACGCGGACCAGGCAGCAGACGGGACTCGAACCCGCACCCTTCGCTATCCGGGCGAATGCACTGACCATTATGCTACTATGGCCTTGACGGCCGTGCCGAATTTTCTCTAGCCTTTCTTATGCTGCAAGGCAGCGCCATCTCTTCGCATTGTAGGTAACCCACAATGTGAAATGAAATGCCTGGTCAGTGTGGATTTTTTTTTCTAGTAAAATTTTCTTTGGATTTAAACACCTAACAGTTAAATACTTTTGGTGCCCTTGTCAAAGCGGCTCGAGAACTCTGCCTCCTTCAGGTATGATATTTCTGGTACGTCCAGCACTACGAAAATAAACTTTGCCCATGACTAATGATTATAATGAAATTCAGACTTACGTAGGATGGTGGAAGACCTCAGGCGGCGTGAAGTGGACAATCAACGCCGGGATATTTTCGGGCGGGTTCGAGCCGTTGTCAAAGTGACTCGAGAACTCTGCCTCCTTCAGGTATGATATTTCTGGTACGTCCAGCACTACGAAAATTATACTTTGTAAAATACTTGCAAGTTGACATTAGTGTTAATAGATGCATTGATTATAATTATATACACCCTAGATACCGTATTAACCGCATGGATACGGCACAAAAATATCTACTACTTATGGTAGATATGCTCGTCGCTACACACGTACATATTGTATGCTTTAGTACAATCTGAATTAGACACAGATTGCGCGAAACATGAGTCACTTTCTTTGCGTGATTTATTTGAATTGCTCTACCTAATCATATAAAAAATCAAAGAATCTAATCTAAATCTTATCTTAGTAATTTAACATACAAAAACGAAGAAGTGCAGGCGTCAGTCTACACTTGTGGACTGACTTCGGCGTCGTCACTCATCATCATATTATGATGATGAAATATACTATTAGTCTAAGATCCGAACCAACATCGACCTTCTCCGAGCTGATAATAGAATGAAACATATTTTATCATGAATTTAGTATATTAGAAAATATATTAAAAATGGGTTACCCAAAAAAATTCTGGATAGACCATTTTTTTTTAAATATTTTAATTGAATGTCGCAACATCAAGATAATCTCGCATCGACATACCTGTTTATACCTGGCAACCCAGACGTTCACCGAGGTAAATAACAGACAACCTAATGGCTGCACATTTTATATGTTTTATACTGTAAGTCAGGACAAAATTTTCTTATTATTATGATGTTGCAACATTTCATTAAAAATATTTAAAAAAAATGAATTAAAAATAGTCTGCCTAGGATTTTTTTATGTAACCCATTTTTAATATATTTTTATTTTTTAATATACTCAAAAAAATATACGTTTCATTCTATTATCAGCTTGGTGAAGGTCGATATAGGTTCGGATCTTAGGCTAATAGTATATTTCATCGTTCTGTAAATGTGTGACGACAACGAAGTCAGTCCACAAGTGTAGACCGTTTTCGGCACTTGTTTTTTTGTATGTTAAATTACTACTGTGCAGGCTTCATTGTCTATGGTCGTTGCTCAAAAAGTTTGGCGAGGTCAATAACATTTGCCAATAAACATTGGCCCCGGGTTGCCGGGTGTCTTCGTCTTTAGACAGCACGAGCGAGGCGTCGGGCAGCACCACGTCATTAATAAGCTCCCACTTATCTCAACACCTCAATAATGTATTGCAATATTGGACTCCCTCCGAAACACAAGGTAAACAAAACATAAAAAGGTTTATCCATAGGTCCGATTTTATATGCATATAAAAGCACAATGAAGAAAAAAGACATTAAAAAAACCTATGGCTATTATAAAAACCTATACCTATAGCTTTAAGCCTGTAGCTATTCGCAAACTTTGAATGCTTTAAAACACTACTGAATTGAAGATTAGTAGTAATCAGTCTGATTACACCGGCCATCTTTATTCTTGATAAAAAAGAAACATCGGTTTATTTGTTTACCTTTTGTCGCAGAGGAAATAGATGCACAAGTAACAGTTACCAATGAACACTGGCCCCGGGTCGTCAGGTGTCTTCACGTCTTTGGACAGCACGAGGGTTCCGTCGGGCAGTACCACGTCGTGTCCGGCCTTCAACTGCCCCAGCAGGGGGCCAGGCTTCACCCCAAACTCCACGCATTTAGCCAGGTCCAAGGAACCAAGCCGTTTCTGGGTCAAAGGAATTCAGTTTAAATTATTTAACTTATACCACCATATGACCAAAGGGAGACTAAAGTTAAACCTGGACTAAAAGTGATGCTTTTTGCTTAGAAGAAGTTTGGAGACAACTATAGGATAAAACCAAGTCTAACTTTTGTCAGTGTTTTGGAATAAAGCGTATGGTGTAGTGTAGTGTTTATAACAATAATAAAAGAAAATCTCTTCACCCTCAAAGCAAGTAGTGTGGCTACTAAATAAATATATATAAACTAGCAGCCGCCCGGGACTTCATTCACAAAGTTTAGTTTTTTGAGAATCCCTGGAAACGTGACTTTTTTCAGGGATAAAAAGTATCCTGTCTCAATTATGGTCATAAAGTATAGGCTACGAACTACGCGATTGAGTAACAAACACATAAACTTTCACATTTATAATATTAGAAGAATAGAAGGAGTAGAGTATGTTTTATTTCTATTCGTTCTACCATATACAACATTAGTTATTAGGTAGTTTTTTTTTTACCACTTTCTGTGATCAGTCTACACTATAAGCAGAACATTTCAATGTCTTTACGGGCGTGAGAGATGGCTTTTCTAACAAAAAGTTCTATCATTGTTCCATACTGATCTCCAGTTAATGCCTGTTTTCAAGCTCACCGATAGTAAATCTTTTGAGTCTTTTGGTGTGTTTGCTAACATCGGTGAGAGCAAGAACTGCAAGTTCATTAACATGGTGAACAAGTCTTCCCTGTCACGCACAATGGACCAACTATGGAGTCTACGTGCAGAAACGGGGTAACAACAACAAGGCTGCCCTGGTAAAGCTTAGCTATAGCGTTTATTTCCTCCTTTATAGAGTTGCTTTGCAAGTAGTCGTGCATTTCTGTGCTTTTGACAAACCATGGAGCCATTCAGTATGGTGAGAAAAACTCAGTTTTGGAATTGCTGCAGGATTTCTAGGTTGGAGTTACTAGCTGTACCCCAAAGTTCAATGCCGTAAGTAAAATTGGTTTTAATAACGCTTTATAAATGGGAAGCTTGTTATTCAAATTGAGACGCGAATGTCTTCCCATTATCCAAAGGAGTGAGCGAAAGCGAATATTTAGTTCCTCCCTTTTCTTTTGAATACGGGTTTTTCATGTTTGCCTTCTGTCAAGATGTATTTCCAAGTATTTAGCAACATCACATTGTGGAAGCTGTTATGTTCCAAGCTTTACTGGTGGTCAATTTCCTGTCTTCAGCGTAAAAGTTACGTGAGTGGATTTGGAGGCACTAGCCTTTATTTTCCATTTTTCCATCCAGGTTGTGAGGTGTGCTTGTAGCTTCTCAAAAGCAATTCTTGGATCCTTGCTGCAACTCAGTGCCACTGTATCATCTGCAAATGTGGCAGATAGTATTTCGGGCGAGTCAGGTAAATCTGCGGTAAACAGTATATAAAACATAGGCCTGAGCACAGATCCCTGCGGAACACCTGCTTTTGTATTGTAGAATCCGGAGCGATCTTCATTCACAACTACTCGGAACATTTTATCTTCTAGGTCTGTGAACTTACTCTATAATTGAATGTCGCTCTCGACAACCGAATTTTGTACCAGTGTAATTAAGCGAGTGAGGAATACCTTTTCAATCAATTTAAGTGAGTATAGGAAGCAAGCTTATGGATCGATAGGATGACACCTCACAGTGGTCTGCCAGGTTTAGGTATCATAACGATATATGACACCTTCCATGATTTCAAGAAATACGATAAACGAAGAATAGTGTTGAAGAGAGCAAGATATGCAACAGCCTTTTTAGATAGTTTTTTAAGTACTTCAGCTGTCAGTTCCTCATAGCCAGGAGCCTTTTTTGGTTTAAGTGTTCGAATGACTTTTCATAGCTCTCTGAGTGTAAAGTGTTTGATAGTTAGACTTAGCTGTAAATGACTACTTAAATACTCCTTCACTTCCCTATCCATATCTTTGCTGCTACTTTTGTTTGGTATGAGAACTCCTTATAGGAATTCTCCAAAAGCTGCAGCCTTCTTTGTATCAGTGAATGTATTAGGTAGTTACGTAAATTATTTTACTTTAGCTTGATAATTAATATAAAAGAATTGCTGGGTCCAAGTATTAGGCAGGAATTGAACTAGATAATATATATACTACTACTATATTAGTGTTCCAGTGATATCTGGGCAAAGCAGACTTTTTCTAGTAAGTTATCTTTATATCTAAGAATTTAGCAATGAATTTGAGAAATAAAGAACTAACCTTCAGAGTACAAATATATGCCACAGAGCAATTGGATTTCTTTTGCAGATCATGTAACACTTTTTCAGTCTTCTTCTTCATTGGATCTGTAACTAACAGTATAAGCATAATCATTTTTCTTCTTATTAGAACCAATAAGCTGATTATTATTTTTTTAAGCATTCAAGTGCTAGATTATCTAAAGGAAATAGGTATTACAGAAAACAAATAATACCTGTTCAAACCCCATCTGAGACCTTATCTCAGATGGGGTTTGAACCCGCATCTTCAAAGATACTTTTTGATTTGGAAAGTGCATGCCTTGTTTAATATTATTACCTCTATCATGACTATATTTGGGTTTAGCTTTAGAATTTCGACTAGTTTTGCTTTCATCAGTTCTAACTTCTGGTTTATAATAATCAGTTTCGTCATGAATGAATTCTTCAAATTCTTTTTCCGCATTTGTTTCTAGTTTAGGTTTCTTTGCTGCAGGTTTGAGATCCTTGCCCACTAATAAATCGTCATGAGGGCCTCTGGACAATAAATTAAATGTTGTTAATATAATTGGAGAAATGACCTGTTTGAGATACTTTATGCAAAAGCCATTTCATTAAAAAGCATAATAATGCAATGTTAGGCCCACTTGCTCCAACATTCATAAACAAAAATTTTAATTAAATTATACCATACATGAGGTTAAGAAAAAATTACATACATTTTGCCTAAACAAGGTTTAAAACAATGTCAAATTTTTTGTAGTAAGACTGAATATGTTGACACCTTATTCTATCTCTATTAACTTCAAACATGTGAAAAAGATACAGTAATGTGTTAAACTGGAGTAAGCTTCAATTTAAGAACATTGGTGCAAGTAGATCTTAGAACCACCAATTAATAAAACTTATTCTAACTCTTTTTTACAATATACAATTAAAAAAAAGTGGTGATGTCTTAGGCCTACTTGCAGTATATTTGCTAAATCTGGATTCAATAAGTCTCAAAGTTAGACACTTAAAAAAATGTTAATCAATGTCAATAGATGTTGTATGAGCTAAATCTAACTTTACTTAAATCGAGATTTAGCAAAATTGCTACAATTAGTGGACCTTAAAACAGGATTAAGCATAAATTTGATTTAAGAATGTTGGTGCGAGTGGGCCTTAATCTTACAAATCACAATGAGAAATATAATCTGAAATGAACTTACAATAACACATATTTTACGCTCATAGTATTATCTTCAAAATCCTCACTGGGACTACAATTTGCCATTGTGACATTCATGTCTTTCATTATAACAAATCTCCTAGTAGCATTATACAGTTCATCCTAAAAAGTTACAATAACATATGTAATCTTTTATTATTATTCAGCAAAAAAAAATATATTCTAGTAAACAATTGCTTTGTAGATAAATAAAATAATCTGGCATCACTGGCTTATCATTCTAAGTAATCTATAAAGATCTTAAAACTTCAACATCTGATTCAGCCAGTTTATTCCAAGAACTATCTATAAAACAATAAAATATCCACTGTTTGGTTCATCAATACTTTATCAATTATAATTGTATAAGTCACAAGTTTTTAAATACACTTACCAACCCTTCAGGACCATGCAAAGTAATATTAGGTACCCCAACATCTTGCAACGTCAAAGAGAGTCCTGGTAACCCTCCAATGTTCTTCCACGTTTTACTGGTGATGAAGATGTGGTCTAGTCGTGATAACTTTACTTTGTGTTCATGGGCTAGACGTTGTGTGCACTCTCCACAGTTGAATAAGTACCTGGTGAGGAATTTTAAGCCAGTATTTAATTTGTACCATTTCTGACATAGATGCAAGTGTCTGCCTCTATTAATTTATGTAAAATCCAAACCAAAATGGTACTTACCGTTTCTGATCAGTGAAGAGATAAAGTGTATTAGGAGCTCCCCGAGCACCGGAGCCAAGTACTTGAAGGTACACAGTACTGGGACCGTATTTCTCAGACTTTTTAGCTATGTGCTGCCTTTGGCGTTGCGCCTCAGCAATTCGTGCTGAATTTGCTTTCGGCATTTCGGCTAGAAATTCCAACAATTTCTTAGTGCTGTTACTCTTACAGCGAACGCTACATATGCTAACTACTCGGCTACTAAACAATACACTTTTACCGTACATGTGTTTGGAGGTTATTTTAATTTTGTATCAAGTTTACGAGCATTCGTCAAGGATCCTATGGAAATTTAATATTTTTTGCATAAGACATAATTAATTACTTATTGTATTGACACATTTTCAGATTTAGAACAATTTTGAGTTTTCTCTCCTCTCCGTCATTCTATCATTTCGTATTTTCTTAATTTTTGACAGATGTAGAGAGGGAGAGATGAATCTGCTTTCATCGATATTTCAAAATAATTTTAAATCAATATTTCAAGTACTAGGAATTCAACTAGATAATTAGTTTTGAGATTATTGAGATTGCTCCTAGTATAAATCACTAATGCTGGCACTTCACACATCAAATCGACTTTTCATTGTTTATTTATAAATTTGACAGCAGGCAGGGTCAACAGAGGAGCGGAGGCCCCCTCACCCCAAATTATTTTCCAAATAAAGTAAACAATTTTTTTTCAGTCGAGTTTTTCAATTAATAATTTATTGTGAACCAAGTAGATTCACTTAGTATTGAACAAACACATATAAATATAAACGGAAACAAGAATTATCTGAAATTAAATCTTAGAGTTAACGAACGGAACCGAGCTTTTTTCGCCGAGAAATCGTTGATGATTTCGTTGAAATCAAGTGATTTTTTTTCCGAAGTCTCTATTGTGGGGGCCCCCCGTTTGTGGAGGCCCCGGGGCTTTCGCCCCGGTTGCCCTTCCCTAAATCCGGCAGTGGTAAAGTGCTAGCATAATGTGCTGTTTAATTCGTATTTGCTATTTGCAAACTCGATCACAATCTCTCCTTTTCATACTATATAGAGTACTAGCGGCCGCCCGCAACTTCGTCCACGATACCTTCAGTTTTTTGAAAATCCTGCAGGAAACGATCATTTTTCCGGGATAAGAAGTATCCTTTGTATCAAGGTTATAAACTATATGCGTGCCAAAGTTCATCCTAATCCGTTCAGTATTTTTGCGTCATTGAGTAAGAAACATACGTTCAGGGTTCTTCGACCTAATTCCCGTTACGTTTGTAGGGATTTATTTTATATTCATCGATGTCGAATGAATCTTGGCAATAGTTCCCCAGCGAATCGATTAAGTATAAAATATTATGAAATAGGCTAGTTGACTCATGTCGAATTGTATTAAATAAATGTTTATTTCTTAAAGTATTTGGTCTAAGGAACCTAAATATATTGATTTCACTTCATAAAAGCAGAAGATTGCTGTAGAAAATTAATTTTAAAAAATATTTTTTAGTCTATATTTTTTAAACACTAAAAACGCTGTTCGCCACGTCCGCCATGATTGTGACGTCTCTTAAGGTAAACAACTAAATGTCATTCGCGTGTTACTGTGGGTGAATTCTTTCGTCTGACTAAATTTATCTTTTAACTTTAGAAAAGTTTCCGTTTACTGTTTTTTTTTTTGAAAAAACTAATTATGGATGCCGGCTTTGTGAAAACAGAAAGCACAAATTTGCCAAGAACTGACGCATTGATGGTTGGTGAATTTATTGCACTAAATCCCGATTTCTGCTCTGCGGAGCAGAGAAACGACAAGGCATCTATTTAAGTACACTGTATTTAGTATTACAATGGTGCCAATTCTGGCGTGATTCTCTAAACTTAAAACTAAATTTAACATCAGTCTCTCCTTTTCATTCTGTATAGAGAATGACAAGGATATACTGCTGTCAAATTTAAGTTTAGGTTTAGAGAATTATGCTAGAATCGACACCAATGTAGCAATAAACATAAAACTGATACAACATATGAATAAGTGTAATAAAGTTGCGTAGGTTAAATTTCTTTCGGCACTTTAATCCACAACTTTCCTGGAGTCTTAAAGGATGTGTTTTTATATTCTCGTGCAATACAATAATGATAATTACTTTATTTTTCGTGGTATTTATTAGAAATCATGTTTTTTTTTATTATAAACTCAAATAAGTTATTTTCTACGTGTTTACGAGTTTTTGTTTACTGCAGTTAATGTCATAGCATAGATAATCTATAGACTAAAATGGCCGATAGCGTTTTTGTATGTCCATGAAAAGTCTATTTTAAAATTATAGGTTTGTAGCTTTCTAGGTCTCAAAAAAATACAATACATTTTTTTTCGGTCTACTATAACATTTATTAACCATTTAAAACCTTTTTCCAAAAGGGGTCAACTAGCCTATTTTTCATTGTTATCGCAATAGTCTGGACATTTTTGGCAACAAGCTTTCACACATTAAAAAATAATATACTAATTAGTCGGAGTCGTAACGGATTGACACTTACAATCAAAGAGTAAAGTAAGTTTAACAAAGGCTTACAATACAATTCACCGATCAAGTGCAAGATGCTAGTGCTGCACGATACATCAAATAGTTTAACACGTTATTACTCTGTGAGTGTCAACTAGCTGTGTACTGTGTACCTGACACACTCATAATATTGGTTGTGTTTGTAGCTCATAGGATGTAATCCAGAGATGGCATTTGTTATAAAGTTAATTGCAATTACTGAGTATAGCTATTAGTAAAATCATACAAAGTATTTTCAATAATAAGGTTATTAAAATAATGTAATGTGTGTATTTTATTAGTGTACCATAGTAAAAAAATAAATAAAAAATACAAACTTTCACATTTTTATAATAAAGTTGAATTAAGATGATAACAAGGTGATGTCAAAATGACAAATAACTTATACAAATGGCCATGTGAAGTGCCCGCATTTCATAAAGTTCAAGTTTGTCAAAAGTATTTTTTTTGTCGGCCAGACCAGCAGATTTCTTGAAGCAGTCAGAGTTACTATAGCATGTGCCAGAACGGAGGATTGTATTACGTCGTCATTTGCGATTTGATTCTAATGACACGAGTTACATTATGCTCACTTACTTATTAAAAACTCATAGGAAACCCCGTACAGGGGTAAGTTCAACAGTGTTATTTACCACATATGTATAAGAAATAAGTTTTATATTTCAAACCGGATAGCGGAAGATGTGGGTTCGAATCTTATCTGGAAACTGGACCATGTGGACATTTTTCTAGTAATATTTTAATTAGATTTAAACAAACATCTTGCAATTAAATGATTAAAAATTAAAATATTATAAGTTTAGCATTATTTAAATTTACTGGACTAAATATAAGATTTTAAGTGTTTTTGTTACATATATTAATACCGGCACTTCACATGGCTATTCATCATGCTTTTTAAGATGTATAAATGGAATGGAAAGGATAGTCTGTTGTCAAGTTTACAAATTGCAATTATTTTTTATCCTTTGTTCAATAATTCGATGTATAATCTTTGTGTGTTTATTTATTAAATCAGTCACCTCAATAGTCATATTGAATTCTTATTTTACATTAAACGATTTTTCTAGAGTAGAACATTTTTATTAAAGTAACAACACTAATTGTTTTAGTATTGCTACTATAAAAAAATGCACCTTTGGTGGTAGTATTTTGTATGCATGATTAGAACACCGGTATAAAAAATCAAAAATGGCGTTCTGTACAGCTGTGGGTTGCGCAATTTTATTGTAAATGTGGATGAAATTTACAAGGAATAATAAAATAATAGTGTAATAATTAACCTAAATTGTGGACATGTTATTTTTATCGAATTCATAGTGTGATTAATCGAAAGTGTATTGGTGCAAACAACAAAGTGCAAATCTGTCGTGGACCGTGTATTTTTTGTGTTGTGGTGATGTATGAAAATGATAAATAATGAAACGGAAAATAATGCGGCTGTGTAAATAATGTATCAATGATGGATATGTTATGGGGAGCGTTTTTCGTGGCCTTGGTTGGCTCACATCATGGTTATGGATTACCAATTGGATCAACGCCGGAAACCTACCCTTACGGTGAGTCATTTCAATAACAAAAATATCATGTTTTTCTGTAAATAAACACGCGTATGTTTTGATAACACTGTAAAACAGCATCTTAAGTATTTTAATACAATAACATTTTAAAATCATAATCTCATTAAAAATATTCTACAACTGGTCAGATTAAAAGATTGTGAAGGTAGATAAATAGTATTAAATTTTATTTGCTTACTTGGTAGGTATATACTCAACTGATTCATCAAAATACTTCTACAATATGTATAGAGGGTACTCAAATTAAATCAACTATATGTTTGAAACAAATAATAATATTATAATTAAGTAATAAAGGCAGATTAAATAACCATTTCAATGCAAACAAGTAATGAAAATCTTTAACTTTTAACTTTAAAGATTATCTGACCATATTGTCCATAAAGGGGGGGATTTGCCTAATGAGATTGCTTTGGAAAACACTATCGCTTACAATTTCATTTTGTCATTTCTGACCACTGAAGGTTTTCAAATACCTCACACTCCTTTTATTTAATATTGTTATTACCAATGCAAAAGAAAAAAAATAGTGTGAGGCATATGAAATCCTCAGGCGGCTAGAAATAACAAAATGAAATCATAAGCGATAACGTTTTCCAAAGCAATCCTGTTAGGCGAATGAAAAGTTCCATCCCACCTTAGTATTAGTTTAAATGTATATCAACAATGGAAAAGCAAAATTGCTTATATGCCACTTTGGTGTTGCTTACAAATTAACTAAATTTCTGTTTTTATTCAATGTTCATTTTCAAGCAACTCCAAAGTATAAGTGATTTTGTATTTCTACCTGCAGTCACTAATTAATAACCTTATTTTGCAATTAATAGATGTTTTTAGATTATATTGCATTATTCATATTATTTATTCATAAAACATAATATTTTAATCACCTATTACAATTAAATGTAACACTTGTATTGACAAACAACAAGTAATAGCATAAGATCCAATTTGTGAAGGACTGGGGAAGTTATTTAGTATACTATGTCCTGATTTTCGACAGCAGAGGTTGGGGAGGGTATTAAGCCTCCCCTACCACTCTCACCCAAAAGAAACTTAGTTTTTGAGATATGATATTTATAAAAATCTAATCTAATTTTGTATGAGAATCACACCGGTTTTTCAATTAAAATGGCCAAAATATGGAATAATGTCTTTGGAGTTATCCAACTATAATTTTATGGAAGAAAGATCGCATCTGCAGAAGTTATTCTTCAATATTTTAAAATGTGGTGCCTCATAGTTTTTTAGACAAAAAAACTAAAAAATATCGTTTTCATAGTAAACAACCTAAAATAACATCTTGTCAAGTTACATTTAGATACAGCCAATGCGAATTTACTTTTTATTTATATAAAAATCAGTGGGTTATTTAAAGGTACTGTTGTGACCATAATGTCACAATTACACTTCATTGTTAGCCCAAATACGAGTGCCAATGTAATTCGGGTAAACAACTAATTTTGTAAATGATAGGAGTTGAGTACTTCCGTATTCATGTAGATTTCCTATAGTGTACCCGATACTGTCTTCCAGCCTGTATTCCAGTGTAAATATTGCTTCCGGTGCCTGAATTGGAGTAATGTCTTTTCATAACACACAAACCAAGCGAACAAAGCGAGCGTGCCACGAAAGCGGCCGGTAAAGCGCCAGAAAAAAAAGGTTTAATGGAGGGAGGGTTGTTAAATATTGGCTTTTAGTACAGCCCTAACCTCAAAATTTCAACCATGAATATTTCTGAAACTATACATATCCGTGGAAGGGGAGTAATCCCCTACCCTGATTATATTTTAGAAATAAATGTCTTATTCCATTAGCCATCTAAAAGTGAAAACAAAATGGGTAGATAATATTCAAACCTAAGCCAGAAGTGGTGCCTGAAACCTTTTTTTACCTGTGACCTGTAGGGTCATCAAGCAGTTTTTTTTTTGTGTTGTCATCCCTATTGTCCCAGGGCGGAGTGATCTTAATTGCAGATTGAGTGCCGCTTAGTCATAAAACTTATCTTATAAATCTTATCATCCTCGGTTCACCCGACTGTGTGGTCAATTGCTACTTTGAAAAATGTTGTGTTGTTAACTGAACTTTTCTGTGATGATAAGTAATGTTAATTGAAGTTTATTTTGTAAAAAAGGCAATCAATATTAATTCCTCAGTAGTATACTCAAATTTAGTTGAATGAAGATAAGATACAAACTAATTTCCTATTAATAGCAGATCTTTTAAATGGCATCACAGATTTATGAAAAAGCGACATACTGAAAATTACAAAGCTGGTATGTTTTAATAAATTAATGTGTTTTGTCTCCCAGATGGCAGCAGGGCAGCAGTCGACACTTGGAGTTCCCAAGGAGGACTGTATGCATTGGTACTGGCACTGGCACTGCTGATCACAGCTATTGGATTACTTCTTGGGTGTACATGGTGTTACAGGCATAAAGATTGCAAGGCAAGTGTTGTTTTTTTGCAAATTTTGTCCATTTTTTATTTACTTACTACTGTGCTGTAGCATATTAGATGAATTACATTACACATTTAAACGTTTTTAACACCTCAATATGACTACAACATGCTGTACTTAATTTTTGATAAGTACTACTTTGTGTCTGTCTTTTGGAAGCAGTGCTGCTTTATTGACAGGGACCTATCGACCACTAATGCCATTACTGAAAAGATTGCAATGGGTATAGAATACAATATTCCACACTCTGATCTCATCAGTAAGGGCACACGTAACCGCTGGTTTAATCGCGATTGTGCTGCAGCAGCTGCACGTAAGCAGGCGGCATATCATGCTTGTATCAGGGACCGCGCTCTTAAGATACCAAGGGTTTTTGGAATTCACAGTCCACAGCAACCTACAATTTTGTTTCCAAGTCTTGCAAAGAAGGTTTACTCTACATCATAGCGGATGCCTAGCGCGTTGCACGTATTGGCCCTTAACTGATAACGCATCCTACGGGCTCCCGTAGTTAGCCGTGCAGAGCAACTTCTGCCAGACCCCACTGCCACCTCCGAGATATCCAGACAGATCACTAGCTGATAAACAGCGAGAGTAAGCCTGATGGCATCCCAACAGTTGTACTGAAACATTGTGTAGCGGAGTTGTTTTCGTGCTTGCGTGCCTGTACCAACTCTTGTATACTTTAGTGTGTGTGTCGGAGACTTTGAAAGATATCAACGTGCAACCGGTACCCAAAAAAGAGGACCGCTCAGACCAGCCAACTATCCTGCCGATAGCTGTCACTTCAGTATTAGAAAGGGTCCTTAATAACCGTCTGACCCGTTACCTAATAGACCACTCTCTAATCAACAGTCATCAATACGGATTTGGGCCGAATCGGTCGACGGGTGACCTTTTAGTATACGTGAGACACATCGTGCTAAGGCTATTGACAAACAGGGTGAGTCTAGCTATCAGCCTTGACATCGCCAAGGCATTTCATAGGTCAGCCTCAAAAGTCTTCTCTTCAAGCATCCTACATACGGTCTGCCTGCTGAGTTCAGTGCCTAGGTGACTGACTACCTGTATGAGCGCAGAATTCGCGTCCTTACGGATGGATGTAGTTCGCAGTTCATTTCAGTAAATGTCGGTATTCCTCAGGGAGACAAAAAAAAATCAATATTGTTGATTCAGTCTAGGCTGTTACAAGCACTTGTGAATGTCGAAAAGCTACGCCATCGGTGCGTAAATCTACGGCGGGAGACCTTTTACTGAGAAGAACCGGCAAGAAAATCAGCAGGGGCTGTTTTTTTTCTTCCTGTATTACATACATTTTCGTCTAATTTAAAAATGACTTCAGTATGAGATAATTCATTAAGTTACTTTCCATTACAAATGTAAATGATATAAAAATTATGACTTTAAAAAAATAAAGAGACTGATTTAACAAAGTTTAGCAATGCCGCGTCCTACTATTTAGTCATAAAACAATACGATTTAAGTTAATTACAACAAATAATTAGTAGATAACAATTAGTTCCCAATGTAGCAAGAGCAGACTCACCTCCGCTGGAAGCACACGTTCACGAACACGACTAACCATAAACACTGAAACCAAACTGCAAAATATTCACTTAGAATTAATCTGTATGACACTGCAAACAGTTACAAAACAAAGGTGCAGTCACAACTATTTTGTTTTGTCATTCAAATATTCTTTTATAGTAATAGCCTTTCGTAAGTAAATATCTTTTAATGTGGCTTTTGAACTCATTTATAAGTAACTCAAGAATAGCATCAGGAATTTGATTTTAAAAATGTATACCTTGACCCATAAAAGATTGGTAAACCTTCTGTAACCTGTTGGGTGGCAATGAGCTTGCATTGCCACCCTTTTTTTTTTTATAACGCAGGTAAAAAATGCTATTTACAGACGACGGCGCCTTTAAGAGGCACACCGCCGAACGGACCTTACACCTGGCTTCCGCAAGTCTTACGGGCGCCCCAGTGGCTGTCCACCGAGGATCCCGCAACTCTTACGGGCGCTTTACGGCATAATATCCGCTAAAAAAGTCCTGCGAATACCCTCTAAGCGTTTAGGGATTCCGCCGCGTCTCCGCACCCAGCAGCCTCCCGGCCTAGCCGGGGCTCCACGGCAGGGGTCTCCCGGGGTATCACGGGGACCCCGCAGACGTGCGCAGGTAGGCCCGCGCGTGGGGGTTGAGTACGCGGCCTAATGCCCACCGTACCGCCCCCCGTCCGCTGCGGAGGGCTACTTGGGCGTGCCCGTATAGCTCCCTCCGCCGCCCCCTCTTTGCAGGACAGAACTACAAGGGGGGCTGCCGTCACGAGGTCCGTCGGTGGCCGGCACAGCCAACGCCATGCCGGTCAGCGAGGGACCCCCCGGGTAGGGTCATGGGACGGGCGCAGCTAGGGCGCGTCGCCGTCCTCTCCTACCCGTCCTCCTTTGGTTGCATTGCCACCCTACAGGTTACAGAAGGTTTCTAATCCTTTTGCTAAAAATGTGCACGTTACTGCGATTAGTATACAAATTGATATTATTTTTAACAAGGAGTATGAAATTGTAAATGAACTGAGATGCAAAAGTCAATTTCCCAATTTTTTTAAATTTTCTCTAAGAGATGTTCGGCTACTCAATTGATAAATAGATCTTACAGCTCTTTTTTGTAGAATGAATATACTTTCAATATCAGCTGCTATTCCCCAAAGTATAATGCTGTATGATAAGATACTATGAAAGTAACTAAAGTATACAGTCCGGGCAGTATCTGTATCTGTGAAGTTGTCTTATCTTTGTTATGGCATAAGCTGCTGAACTAAGTTTACCAGCCAAAAGCGTACTGTGATGATTCCATTGCAGTTTTGAGTCTATCGTTATACCTAAGAATGTAGTTGAGTCTACAAAATCAAACTTTTCAATTTATATATATATACTAGAAACAGGAAGGGACCCAAAACTTAACCCTGGGGGACGCCCATTTCATTTACCTCTACAGTGACTACATGAATTTTGGAACTAAGGTACGACTGTATCAATTTATATGCAGTACATTTGACTCCATAAAGACTCAATTTCAATAACAGCGTGTGATGTTCAACGCAATAAAAAGCTTTGGATAAGTCGCGGATCATTCTAAAAACATTCTATTACCTCTCTCAAGCCTCCAATAAAGTCAAAGTCTCCTCCTCCTTACAAGTGCAACACCCGTATCAGTTGTAGATCTACCTCTGGTAAAACCAAAGTGCTTCCTATGCAAAAGTCTATTCAGGTTGAGTTGAGGCATTAATTTGTTCCAGAATAATTCTTTCAAACATTTTACTAAGAATCACTGAAATCTATTTCCTGATTTTAAAGGAGTACATTATTGCATTTCATTAGATCCGGAAATACTCCTTGATCAATACAGTTATTAAATATATAAAATAAATAACGGGTATTATTATACTTTTATTATACATAGAAATACCCCATAAATCACTTGTATTTTTTTGTTTAAGAGAGTTAAAACACTTAATAACATCAATAAAATAAATATGTCTGAACTGAAACACGTTATCACACCTAGCTACATATTTCTCGAGCAATGTGTTTGACGCCACCAGTGAAGAACTCAAATTAGATTTAGCCACCATAGGAATATTAAGGAAATATTCATCAAAAATATTAGCGATAAGTTTTTTGGACTTTATATGAATGTTATTGGACTTAAGTTCAACAATATCGTCATGTGTCCTTTCTTTGTCTGTTTCACGATTTATCTTGTTGTACAAGGCGCAAGTGCGGTCTTGCGTTTAAAATTGCTCGCACCTCTGGGATGGCTCCGTCAAGTACTTACTCGATGCTTTGGATAGGTTATAGCGGCGTGCGATCCGCATCATTGGCGCTGAGGAAGTGACTAAACACCTCGAGCATCTTCAATTACGCCGTGATGTGGCGTCATTAAGTGCGTTTTATCATCTATACCTTGGCAGTGTTCAGACGATTTATTCTCCCTTTTCGCACCTTACACTTTTCTTCAGAGGACCACACGCGCTGGCCTACGAACGTTGTCACCGACTTACTGTGACCACTATTACAACATGAACAAAGACATTTGGCAAAAAAAAACGCACTATCCGTAAATGGAATATTTCACCTGGTCACGTTCTTCCTTCCATCCTATTGCTGCAGCTGTTTTCAAGTCATATAAAATTAATTCACAACAATTATAACAATAAATTTAACGAATCACTCTTAAGTATATTTTTTTTAACTCATAGGTTTCTGCCGTTGCTTTGAGCAAACCTGTATATTACAATAATTATGTTTTGTTAATTCAATTAATCCATGTGTTTCAAGAATGCAACTAGCAACCTTAAAAACATAGACTAAAGTTAAACCCGGTCTGAAACTGGTGCTGCCACTTTTTTTGCTAAAAAGAAGACAGAGACAGCATCAGATTTAAACAAAGACTAACTTTAGTCCGTGTTTTGGAATAAGGTAGTAGGAGTTTTATTTTATTTCATATTTATTGTCAAAGACTGAATTTAAAAAGAAAGCTACAAGCCAGCGAGTTCGCTACGACGACTTTACAAACTCTCTGGCTTGTAGCCTGTAAACTCGCCCCGTGTCATCGAGACTTTACCTACCACATGCTGACATGTGTTTTTTTATGTATGAGGGGTGACTACTAAGTGTGATATTATTATGGTCCACCTTTTGGAAAGTGTCTTTGGCTGCTGATGATACCACTCACACATTTTCTACCCTGATCCAATTCCTTACCCTTTGGTTTTCAGCACACCGTCCTGGCACAACAGGGTGAGGAATAGCCTGGAAACCATACTAACCAACAGAAACAAAACAACACCAAATGATAGAGCCACAGTTAAATATTAATAAAGTTATTAAAAAGCATACACATCGATTAGTCGTAATATTTGCGAGCGTAAAATAAGTGAAACTATTGATAAACAGTTAAAATTCCTTGACGGACACTTAACAG